ACAAGGGCTGGCCTCAGATACCACTGCACATGCTGAACAGGCACTGAAATCAAAGTGATTATTTATGGAGTGAGGCTTTGCTATGAAAGCAATAGGCTCATTTCTTGGTGATCTCTTTAAACTATAATGACGCTAGAAACCTTGTTGCAACAGACTGGTTTATGTCAGTTTGAATAATCCATCTGATGTTTAAGTAAACACATATACTTATCTGTATCTAATGGTATTTTCTTATGATCTGATAAATCACATCACTTGTAAAAATATTGTAGGGGAGGTTCAAATGACACAAAACCTCACATGACAGTATTGCATGCAACTACATTAACGAACACCCTGAAACGTTAACACAAAGCATGCAGCAATGTTACTGGAGTATGTTTACAGAATGCATGCAGAAGGCCCACACATAGGGTATTTATAAACCATTGATTGGTGTCTTCTATGGGCTATTTTAAATGTACTTTGCATCTGCCAAACACATACTGAGTTGATCATGTTATTCAGAGTAAGTTAGACCAAACACAGAGCCCTTTTTAAATCCCATCCTTAGAAATCACCTTGTGTTATTTCATATTTGCTTCAAGCGTTTAATTGATTACAGACATCTGTACTACCAGTTTTTGCAGACATGTTTTAGTATCCTCTTAAGAATTAATAAGCTAAATGTGCACAGCTTTCACAGTGAAGCTGGATATTTGGATTTTCACATTTTCTTCCCTAGTCTAAACCAGTTAGCACCAAACTACAGAAAAAGATTCACAGAACCAGTGAAACAACTGTTGTCTCAGTCTAAACTTACTTACCAGGGCTAGGTTTTTAAAACTTGCCCACTAGCTCTGACAGCAGCTCAGCATCTGACTGTCCTGTTTGAAATACACAGATGTAAAACTTCACAGGATCTGAGTATCTGCTGCATCCACTGATTTCAACTGCAGACACTTAACGCAGCTTAAAGTTCAGAAAACCACTTTTCTTAAGCATGAAGAGCTAATGAGTCCATTTAGAAAACTTGGGCCTGTCTGTGAGACAGAAAGAAGGACCCTGGTAACACCCACAGCTCAGCCAGGTGATCCTAGGATCATCCATAGAGCACAGGCCTCCACAACACAAAAGCCACCATGACAGAAATATTAACTGATACAGTTACTAGAAGCCACAAAGGCAAAGCCTGAGGCTGAATCGTCACCTATTGGACCCTGTGAGAATTAGAGTGAAATATAAATTGGTTGTAAATCTCTCTTGCCCAAACATGCACCTGCAAAATGAGATATACAGGTTACTTTGCATGAATAACCTGCACAGTTGAAAAACAGATTTCTGGTCACCCGTGTTGTCAGCTTAGCAGTCTGTACAGCGAATTTATCTAATAAATGCTTATAAAATACCGAGTATTCACAGATAAAAGTGATAGACAAAATGCACTGCACAGTGTGGAAAAAAAAATGGCGGGTATGCAATACAGTATTATCTACCATTCAAACCTCATCTGGGCTAAAAATCATATTCCTTCATTATAGTTCTACTGGTTTTGGACTGGTGAAATAAAGCAGAAAAAAAGGAGTGCCATGCATGAAGAGATCACTAACACTTCAAACAAATCTAGGCAAAATGAAAAACAAGCATGTCACAGAATCCACAGAAAGTTTCAGAGCCTCAGTCCAGAAATAGGTATTAGGCATGAGAAAGTGACAGAAGGAATCTAAATTTTCCTAAAATAAGCTGTAACTTTACAAATGCTTGCACATGTGACAGCCCACTGAGCAAGCTTGCATGGTCAAGACTTAATGTGCTTTGATCTTTTTTCCCCTTCCACATTTACAGAATGCCATCAACATTGGGTGAAACTTTAAATAGCCTTTTTAATATCAGTAGCCTATTGTAAATTCAGAAAAATCAAAACATTTATAAATATATTTTATATATCAGAGTATAACATATCTAGAGTAAAATAAAACTACATAGTTTAGAGAGGCATTCTGTGTGGCTTCTTCTATATGCTGTAAACTGTTTGACAACCTTTGCAATCTTGCCTCAGTTTTTTTGGCTTTATTTTTAAGCCAACATACAGGAAAAGAGGAGATTATAGGGTTGGCAGATACTTTCGCCTGAGCCATCTGAAGAGCTCTACTGCTGCGAAGACTTACATTGCTCACTTAACTTTTTGTGTTGATAGTTAAGTGTAGGTGCAAGGCTTAGCAGTGAGGCGGGCGGTGGATGCAGAGGTGGGAGTTCAGCCCTACACCTGAATGTTTACATTCCATTACTAAGGTTCATATTGACCCAGACTGAGAATCTGAGTGTAAGTACATATGGAGTAAAAGATTCGTTTCTTACTACAGGTAACTTTGCCTCTGTATACTTACTTAGTGCATTATCAGCTGTGTATAATATTAAACACAGACCGGTAGTTTACTGATGCTTTAATTTGATGTTTCCTTGCACTGCTGTTTAAAATAATCTATTTCCTTAAAAATGAATGATGTGCATATTGGATGTGTTAAATTTATTAAGGTCATGGAAGACTATTTGCAGAGCACCACATTTAATGTAGTATTTTTGTACTGTAATGGAAGCATGCCTTCCTTGGGTTCTTTTCCACATTTAAATTGTATTTATTTACCTGTATTTATAACTGTGTGATTTTTAAATATGTTTTAAAAATAAACTTTGTCTGTGGCTTCAAACATTTCAAAATCTCTTCTCAATTTGAAAATGGTTTTGGCTATAATCACTTGAACTGAACGGAGGGACGTACTTCTCCAACTGAAATAAAGGATTTTTTTTTTAACGAGGTCTTCTGTTGTTTACAATGTGAACACGCTTCTCTGCTTAAAAATTAAGTCCACAAGATGTTTTTTTCATTACTATTTATCATAAATTCATTGTTACTCTGAGTTAGAGTTATTTTTTAAATTTATATTTGTTTTAATATGTTGATCAATTATACTTACAACTGGAATTTATACTAGCTGCAGTCTGGCCCAAAGGATTTTGTGCATACACTCTGTATGAGGAAAAATGGAAAAAAGTAGATCAGAATCTTTCCTGAAGATCATGCAACTGCACACCTCAAAATTAAAACAGAAGTAATAATATTACAACACAGTCTTTCCGAAAAAAACCACAAAGCTAACTTTCAATGATTGAAATCATTAGTCAAGCAACTTCCCATAAACCATAGTGGGAGTTGGCTATTGCTGTTTTTCAGTTTTGGCTTTCATGTGATGTGATGAAGGAGCTGACAGGGTAGAAATTACATCACCTTTATGCTTTTGCTATGGAATACTAACATAAGCGGGACATAAAACTCCCGTACACAGCTGTGGGCAGAAAAGATGACAACCAGCAAGAGGGTCATGACGGTTACAGCAGAGGGCTATCGACAAAGCAGGACACACTGGCATGGATCTGAACACACTCTCAATGGACATGTGGGTTGCTCCAGCAAAAACAAAACAAAAAAAACCCCAGAACATACAGCCACAGTTTGTCTGAAGAAGGAAAGCTCTGTCAGAAAACCCAGCTGTCTATGGCTTTAACCAGAACCTTCCACCAAAGCAAAAGGATGCAAGTAAGGGGTGCTTTTGACACTGGTGTGTTTTGCCAGAATGTTACGATAGTTTAGTTCTTGCCACTCAAACGTACCCACAAAGCAGCAGCAAGAATGCCCATCGGTTATGTGCTCTGTAGCACACACGGACCAGGAACACAGCACTGCAGTCCTGAGGCCAAACAAAGACAGTGGTCGGGAAAAAAGCATTAGTGCCAAATTCTGCATACAGAACTGCTCAGAAAGTCTCTGGGGAGGACACTGGTGAAGTCTGAAAATATAATCACCTACTCCACAGCAGCTGTCAGTCATGCACAATCTGTCTTCAATATTTTTACGGCATTCACCTCTCACCACAGCTGTCAGTGCCACCCTTACTCATGTTATGCTTGTAGCACACTTGAGGGACAGAGAGGTGCTACTTCCCATTTTAGTGAGGAGGGGCAGAGACCAGGGGTGGTGTTAACTTGTCAGTTATCTAATAATGCCTCCCACAAGCAGCCCACGACAGTTAGCAGGTACAAATCCTATACAGGTAATTCTTGCATGAAGTCTGAACAGAGCCCTTGAGCTTGCACAAGGGGACATGTTCTCCCACCTCTTCCAGTTGCGACAAGTGGCATGAACACAGCGCAGTGTGACTTGCCACGGGCACGAGGGACACCTGTGGTAGAAAAGGAACTAAAACAGATCATTAAATTTAGACTTTAGGAGCTGAACCATCTTTACCTTCCTTATCGTTCAACACTTCACATGTGCTCTACTTCCACATCACACAGTATCACTTATAGCCTGGCAGGTTTACCTCTTACCCCTCCTTCAGCTCCCGGTCCCATGATCCCGTAAAAAGATTAAAGGGTTGCCATCCCTCAGTCTTTTTTGGCCTACTTTTGCATCTACCAAAGATTTCTAATGGTCACACTGTTACGCAAAGCCCTTAAACATAAGGAAAAAAAGACCTCTCCTTTACTGAAGAGCAGTTGAAATTGCTTAATAAATATGAGGAATTACAGACCAAGATCAAACAGGAATTTGGAGGTGAAATGCCAACATTCCTTCACATGAACATTGCCAACTCTTGTGTTAAAATATCAACCGGCTTAAAAATTAAAAAAAAATGAACAACAACAACAAAAAAAAAAATCCATCTTAATTAAAATCCTATTTTCTATTTTTGTCATATGTTATATCCACTAAGAGTTTGGGGATTTTGGGGGTTTGGTTTGTTTTTGTTTTTTTTTTTTTTTTTTTTCTAATCCATAGAAGTGCCATGAGTCACAAGAAATCAAGACTCCCACAAACCTCTTTGTTCCTTATACAGGTTTTTTAAGTAAAACACCAAACATGACCACAAAGAGTAAGAAAAGAGGCAGCATCAAAACATACTCTATTTCTTCCACGTTCAGACAGGAAAGAAAGAAGCAAGAATCCACGCAGTCACAAGACATGAGAATATTTCTTTTTAATTTAAAACAGTTGCAACAATGTCATTCACAACCTTTATCATCTCAGACAATTACTCTCCAAAATGTTAACAGTGCTTCAAGCAAACAACTCTGAATGGTGCAAAGTAAACCAGTACAGACGCTTCCAGGATACAACAGTAAAACCACTGAGGAGTGAATAGTAATCAGAAACTGATCTCAGCCATTAAGGTAGGAAGGGTGATGGGAAAAGAATAAAAAGTTATGTCCAGTTACATATTTTGTATAGTCTTTCAATGCATGAAAATAGCAAATAAGAGAAAAATGCTTGCTGTCAGAATGGAGAGCGAAAGGAATGAATTGGAGATGCTTCTAAAACAATCTAACAAGCTCTGGTTGCATCTGTATTCAAAATGTGCACTACAACCCAGTGGAGGCTGCCCGAATCAAAGAAACTGCACTGATGCTCATTTCAGTTACACCAAAGTCAGTCAGAAGTAATGCCACCAAACACAGTAGAATTACAAGTGATAGTAGTCTGGAAATATCTAGACTTGTTTTAAAACCATAGCTTTGAATAAATTTTTTATCTGAATTTGATTTTAGCTAGGAAGATTAAATAGGACTTTGTGTCTACAGGTGTTTTGGTGACTGGAGATTGTGACTCAAAATGAGGGGTCTCCTGGATCCAGCACGCTTTAGGAATGGGAGGAGAAAAGGAAACCAAGGAAAAGTTGTTGAGTTTTACTTCCTTCCCCTTTCCTAATCTAAAATGTATCATATGAAAAAATAAAAATCAGTCCAAGAAATAAGAACATTACTTGCTGTCAAGTTCTGGCTTGCCAAAATTCTCAGGTGAGACTGTCTCAAACAGCTCACGGTGACTTTTTTCCCTCCATCCTTTTTTGTCAAGAAGCTCCCAGCATGCCTAACCCCCCAACAGCTATTACAGTACCCAGACACATGGAGTTTCCCCATCAACCACTGCTCAGGCCATGCACTGAGGCCTGGCCCAGCACAATTAAGTGCATACTAATTTTAGCAGGCAAAGCCTGATAAATTCATCCTCTATTCAGTACAGTTTGTTTGAGGGTGGCTTCTGCATGCTGAAATTTAAAAACAAACAAACAATCAAAACAAACTCGTCTCCCCCACATTAGGCTGAAGTGTCAGGAGTCTACATCCTGCTTCTCCAGATTCATTATGTTCTTCACACATATCTCATCACAAAAGTAAGATGACTTAACTGGCTGTTTGAAAAAGGAGGGAAGCCACTACTTCGGGAGATAGTAAAATAATTCCTCAAACAGCTGAAGGACATTTAATATATTTTCAAGTGCTAAATTTTAGAAGATCCATAAGCTTTTCCCCTAAACTGCTCCCTGCACTTCTGACCCACTTGGTAGTTTAGGCAGGCAGTGCATAAGAGTGATGAACTGAAAGGACTTTCGGAAGCTGAGCTGCTACAGTTCACCTATCACAGCCAGCAAATGGCTCTCCCCTTTCATTTACCATTTCCAGTTTATCACCTGCCAGCTTTCTAAGTGTGCCTCCTATTAACCGAGATCCATCAGACCCACAGCCATTCCAGTTCTCAGATGTACCAGACAAACGGTTTGCAGGAGTCCAAGCTCCACCCTTAGTCCTACGAGACCAGCCATGTTTCCAGTTTAATAATGAAGATGGGAACTAGTCTGTTGGCCTTTATTTACCCAAGGTTTCTAAATAAAAAGGTAGTGGCCACCAGATCTTTTTAGTTTATAAATAGCCCTTTAAGTTCATGAGCCAAGAGGGGAAGCTGTTGTGTTGAACTTCCTTGGAATGTAACCGGGCATTCAAAAAAATTAAAAAAAGAACAAAAATTAAAAACAGAGGCCTTTTGTCCTTTTTCTACTGCCAGAATGAAAAAGCCCAAACACAGGTGTACAGAAATTTTGTTCTTTCATTTTAAATAGATGGATCACTGCGTAATTTGCTGATCCCGTTTTTAAATCTGGCATTTTCTGGTGAAATACACAAGTACTCAAAACCTGGAAGAAATAAAACAATTACTGGCAGCTTTTATTTTGTCCAGAACTGGTGGCTCAATAATTACAAGGCAGCTGTATCTCACAGGAGCCACTTACTAATGTGCTAGGATGCCATTCTTCTGTGTCAATAAGAGCACTAAGGGCAGGAAGCTTCCCAGCAATTAGGTACCATTTACATTCTACAGAATTATTGCACTAGAATTTCTCTCCATTTTTTACGATCAAAACATGATTTTAAAAAAACAACTGTTTTTTGGCTCTGCATGAGGCTATGTGACCAGAGGGAGAACTGGTTTTCCCCAAACACTGGAAAAAAAATGCCCTACTCATAACCAGATTTTTAATTTAGGTTCTCTCCTGTAGCACGTAGCTGCCTCAATTTTGCTATTAAACTTGCAGGCACTGACTGCAGAGAAAATGTAATTACACCTCCCTGCCTCTCTTGCACTCTGTAAGGAAGATATATATGTTTGTTTTTTTGTTTTGGTTTTTTTTTTTTTTTTTGTTTTTTTTTTTTGTTTTTTTTTTCCCGACTGTTCCAATTTATTTTGAGGGCTCAGTAAGATTATATGAGGCAACTCCAGCAACAGTCTCTATGCAGTGGCCAACACTGAGAATCTTTGGGGGTTTTTTGGAATCATGAAAAGTTCTGCACTCACCGTTGTATTTTTTTCTAGAATTAGTGTTTTCAAATACAATTAAAAAACCCCACATATATATTCTTGCTTGTGACACAAACACCCCCCCCCCAAAAAAAAAAAGACAGGAAAGGCCAGCCCCTACCTACCTACCCTTTCATCCCTGCCATAGATATAAAACTCCTTTTAGAAGGTATCTGTTGAAGAAATGAGATTATTGGTGTGTTTGCAAGATTTAAGAAAGCTGAAATATCATTTTAAAGGTTTTTTGTTGTTTTTTGTTCTTTGGCTTCTGTTGTTTTTCTGTCGTGGGTTTTTTTAAAGGAAGCAGAGAGGGGCAAATCAATAAATCAGCAGTTTTACTAAGCAGTTTCCCCCACTCATGGATGGAACTAAATATTTAAGCAATCTTTGGCAGAAAGCAGAATTGCACTGTGAGTACTCTGTCAGGGAGTTGATTTCAGCTGGAATGTGAGTGGTCTAGATGCAAATTTCCCTGAAATAAATATAATGGGACATTAACCCCTTCTTTACCTCCTTCATAAGAAAATAAAATTTAAATAATAGCCTTAATAGCCTTGCCTTTCCTGAGGGTATACATTTAATTTTATAGTCAGAAAGTCTGCTTCTTCTAGCTATCTGTAATCCTGAATCTGTTGGAAGAATTTGCAAAACAAACATAGAACAGAAGACAAAAAAACCTGTATCTGCAAAAATCAAATGTACTCTTTGGCAGAAAATGTACAGGGCACTAGCAGGTGATTTCTTCCATCTTAATTAGTTTTAGGTTATGCATCAAAAAGACAAACCAAAATACTATAAAACTGAATTCCAACAGATAAATTTAGTTGGCTCTTCTCAGTGTACTGAAAATCATCTCTCAGATAAAACGTTCTGCCCTGAAGAGCACTCACATACCTCCCCCCCCTCCAACTTTATATGCAGTATGATTTCTCTAAGTGGTCTGGACTGTTTGAAAACACTGGCTCCCACTCACCAAAGATACAAATATTTCTTTGTGGTCTTCAGTGGGTGCATGGACAGAACAGGCAGGAGCTGGGCTCAACTGGGCTATTTTTGTTCAACTCTGAAACTTCCATTTTCTCCATATACTAGCTGCAAACTCCACCAGTAATCTGCATGGTTTTAAGGTATCCTTTAAGATGTATAAATTTAAAACAACGTACTATACATCACCTAATAGAAATTTTCCTTCTAACACTTAAGGCAGAATCAAATGACTGTTTTTAAATAAACTATAAATATCCCATGTTTTCTTTTGATTTTTGGCAGTCCAAGGGTTAGGGGTCTTCTGTTGGTTTTAGATTTTCTTTTTTATTGTATGGTTTTTTGGGCAGGTTAAAAAGGCTTATGGCTTCTTAAGGCCAAGTAATAGATTTGAGGCCTAACTTGGTATCCTGTGGTAAAAATATATATAGCCCAGGTCTTTGGGAGGTCGTTCTGAGGCACAGACTTTAAGGTCATTGTAGATCACCCATCTGAAATGAAAACAAGATTGATTACATTTCATGTGTACAGAGATCACCACAAGTTTATTAGGGACTTCTCAGACCCAAATTTCAAAGAGCTTAAAATCTAAAATTAGGCATTGCAACAAGAACAAAAGATCTGAGAAACAGCCAAAGCAGGTTTTTACTGGTGGAGTCAGAAACTGAAAAGGAAGAGGGACATGCAGAGGAATGTGTAGTTACAGTTCAAATGAAGGAAAATCGGGGCTTCCCAATGCCAAATACTATCAGCGTATCAAAATCACTGCCAAATCACTGCAGTGATGATTACTAGCAACATATCAGCCCATAGTTTGATGGGTTTCTACTGATGGGGAATGAAAGGAAGTTGGGGGAAGCTCAGAGAAACAAAGCCAGATGCAGAAGTGATGCCCCAAAATGGACAGAGATTTGAAACAGCAAGCACAGGGGAGCCGATGGTACATTTCAGCATAGACCTCAGCTGGATCAGAACTGACTCATCACATTTACAATCTCTAATAATCTTTATTTCTTTGGTGGGAAATGTATATCTGGTAATAACACGAGTGCTTTGTCTGCCATGAATACACACCCCACATGTCAAAGAAAACATTTGCTCATCCTGCTGTCTCCCAATTCCACTCACCTTCCTTCTTTTTTGAGATGACAAACATAGTGGCCACTCATTGTGGATGTTCCCATGTGGCTGATGAACCCAAACAGCTCGTATCCTGTTTAAGAAATACAAATGGGACCATAAGTCTTGTATTGCTAACACTGCAATATGACTCCAGTGGAAACTTACTTTCTAATACTGGAGAAGCAGTTAAGCACTCCTAACTCAGACTCTGCATCCCCAAACACAGTTTCTGTTAAGACGGCAGCATTACTCCCTCTAACTAGCAGTCAGATTCAGTGTGAAACATCAAACAAATCCAAATCAAACCCACAAAGATCTGTGCACATACAGCAGGGCTGTGATCACAGCCTCTACTAGGAAAGAGAAAACAGCAGATTCATTCCCAGTTCACAGAGAGCACCACAGAAAGTGCCAGATACGGAGTTCATTCTGCACACAAATAAGCTATGTCTATGAGTGTGATCACAGATCCCCTATAAAACAAGCAAAAAACAGAAGTTTATATTTCAGCAGCCCATAAAAGAGAGGACAGAAAAGAAACCTCTGCTTTTAATATGAGGACAATTTTTGTGCTTAATGTCTCTGGAGAATTCAGCATTGGTTCTTGCTCCCCACCCATTCATGCCATTCACCCAAATTACCACCAAAAGTAAAAGGGTACCTTCTTTCAGGATATTGCATAAGGACAGGGGCCTGGATTTTGGTGGAGAGGGCTTTCTGGAGCCATTTTACAGTATCATGTTGGTTATCAGGATTTCAGGCACTCAGTAAATGGTCTCAGTCTATAAAGGCTAAGTACCACAAAAAATAATTATTCCAAATATTTTTTTTTTAATGTAATGATAATCAATGTTTCCCATGTCTCCAAGAGACTTAAGATTGTTCTTTATAATGTCAGAAACAAAGAAATTAATGTTCTTATATAATAACAGCAACCACAGAAACAAAAATCAAATTGGCTGTTTTTTTTTTTTTTTAAGACCATTACAGTCAAGACCAGAGGTACAAGTTTAGAACATACTACAGTAATTAGAATTAGTCACTAAAGACCCTTCAAAATATGTTCTGTGATGTTGTTGTTAGAACCACAGCCGAGCTTTTGCACTCTAGTGCTTTTACACTTACAATAGGTTCTTTGCCTACACCACAACTTTGACTGCTGTACATCAGCCCCATCTTGTGGTTTATTTAGCAGCAGTATGACTGAGGATCTCAAAGACAAAAAAAAAAAAAGAAAATAGCAAAGCAGTACATGCAGGATACCAACTATACCTGCTATATTTAGAATAAAGAACTTGGTTGAATGGATTATCAAATCTCCCACCAGACCACAGGAGGACAGAAACTCAGGTGGTCTGTAACAGCAGCGTTATCTTTAGGATGCTCAGCCTCTGAAGATTTAAACATTCTAGCTTTTCTTTGTCTTTTTATTTTATAGCAACAAAACAAAAAGTAAAGCTAGGTCATTAGAGACTTACATGCTATGGCAGCTACAATCATGGACTCAGCTAATTCAGAGAGTCCAGGGAAAGAGTTTTCTGAGCAAACACAGCCCACAGAACTTAGCAACTCCACAGAGCTGGATGCAGCCCCAGAAGCAAGATTGGAAGTAAATTGTCTGGATCATGTTCAAAAAAACCACAATAACTGCTTTTAAAACGCAGGAGCTCTACGAATGGTGTAGGTGTGATGCAATGTGACAGGCAGTTCTAAGCTGAAGAACTTACTTCCAGATCCGTCTTTGATCCTGGGTCCCTCTGACCCTGTGTCTGCAAGGATATTGGCATTAGCATTGTTCTCCATATCCATCATGTCCAAAGCAGGCTCATTTTCTTCCTCGAGTTCAGGGTGACTGAAGATCCATTCCAGCGCACGCTCCAAATTACTGTTCTGGAAGTCAAAAAAGTGGAAGAGCAGCCTTTAACACATGCAATTAGCATGTAATATCTAAGAAAAAAAAAAAAAAAAATCTAGCATCATACTACCACTCAGGCTTTGAACAGAGTAAGGATCATGTTCAACAGCACTTAAAACTTGTAAGATACATAACTCTACCTCTATAGAAAATAATATTCAACAAGCACTCTGGAAAAGCTTGACAGATGGAAAAGCAAGCCTCCCACAACTAATCGCCATGGGCCCCGAGCTCTCATCTTGAAGATGCATAGTCTTTAGGCATCCAGGTTGTTTCTCAACAGATGGTAAAAGAAGCTAAGGTTTTCCTCACTTTCCTCCACACTTTGGTATTCATGTGAAACAGACAAACCACCTTCCCCACTCTAATCCAGAGAAGTTAGGCATCCCACACTTTGCCAGAACAGTTCTATGTGCATCATCCACTAACCGGTTTTTTATATGCGCGTTTCAAAGGCATTTGAGCACGCACACGTACAAAGCACATAATATGAAGTGAAACTGAAGTGCTATGGAACTCACTGTTGCCTTCAGCGCTTGAATTGCTAGATTCCTTTGGAAGCCCATGGAAATGATAATTGCAACCATCTCTTCAGGAGGTTGGTTATCTAGCCCAACAGCTCCAAATGCAGCTGCTCCACTGGAAGCAACTTCTCCAAATGCAGGTATGACCAATGGCTCAGCAAAGTCTGGGACAAACAAACATCCATCAGTTCATTCTTTTGCCCCAGTGAACTGGAAAGTCAACAACAAACACAAACAAGCAGCCAACAGGACCTCAAAAGCAGTCCTGAAATCAACGTAACTTCATTTCACTGGCCCAGCTGGGACTTAGATGCATGGAAAGCCTTAAAACCAACAAAATGAACATGCACATTACAAAATATCGAGGTGGACAAACTCATACTGAGCAGGCTGGAACAACGTGGCACGTCACAGGAAACTGCAGGGAAGTAGCAAAGATTGGTATGGAAGCAATGATACCACCAGCAACAGTAGACCACCCAAATGAACTGATTCCATAGCTGAAATATGTCAGTTAAGACCAAGTGAAACTCATTCCCCATTTACACAAGCAACTTAAAAGCCCACAGTGAACTGCGAACTCAACCAAATCTGGAGTTTCCTGGCAAGGGAGTGCTCAGATACACCCAGTGCTGAATCACAAGTCCAAACTGCATGGATGAAACACAGGAACTGGAGAACATCTAGCAGCCCTTTCCATCAGTAGATAGCCCAAGGTCTAAGTACGGCATGAACGCTCTAGCCTGAGCTAGGGAAAGCCAATATGGAAGAAAAGCATCCGGACCACAGGATTTTTTGTACTTACACTTGATCACAAGTCAGCTTCCCCCTTAGCAGCACGGACCTAGCCAAAGGGTGGAAAACAGAGAGCTGGCCCACACCATCAGTGAGGACAGGAGAGTGTACTTCTGGTGTAGCTTAGGTTTGTTGTCTTCTTCTAGGCAGAGGATGCCACATAATGGTCAAGATCTGCATATCCCAGGAGCAGCTTAGGAAAATTCACTCACACCTCCAGGTTTCCTGGGGTGGGGAAGGGGGCCATTGTTTCTGTCACACATCATAAAATTTCTACGGACTGCCAAAATACACAACCAGGAGTTGAGTTTAATTTACACTCTCCAGTCACTGACCTGGTTCTTCCATGTGTGCAATGATCCAGTTGAAAGCGACTTCAGCACCCAGATTGCCTGTATAGTACACAGCTTTCCGACATGCTTCCAAAGGAAACCCCATCTCCGCCAGTTGCATAACTGAAGACTCATCAATATCTAGAGCTACAAGAAAGGACCTTCTAAAATATAAAAGTCTAATTTCATCCATTGTATACTATTTCTTATTGTTATTCACGGTGCCAAACAATGCCTATCACTTGTATTTGTTTTAGTACCGCAATAAACCCACATCCATTAGAAAACAGGCTTGTACAAAGCACTGCAGTATTTGTTACGGACTAACTGATAATCTTTTGTCATAGTAATCTACATAGATCCTTAAGCCTTGATGAATTCCTACAGGACTTTATTTATTTTAAAAACTCACCACTGGATTTCAAGGGGCGAAGAAGTTAGGTGCTGAGCTTAGCTAGAGATGGCAGCCAAAAGCAATCACCTCTCTTAAAGGCAAGATCTTGCAGGTGAAAAGCACCAGCTGCTGGATCTGGCAGTCTCCAGTTGAACTTCATCTCTGAATGACAGGGCACAACAGCTTCAGCTGAGATCAGAGTCCAGAGGGAGTCAGGATCAAGCAGCTGTGACCCCCAGAACAGCAAGATCCTGCTGATAAGCAGCAGCTAGAGGAGCAGCTCAATCTGACTACACTGATGCTATTACAGACTCTTAAAGTAAGTCCTGCATGCATGGAAGTAAATGCTGAACAAGTACAAAAATCAGCTGTTTTTTAGAAGCATGCAGGGCAATACTTCATGCATCTCTACGAGGACAGAGAAGCCATTAGCTGAGCAAAAGGATGACAAATTTTTAAGCAGCTGTAATATCAGTCTCCGAAAAATCAGATACGTACATTCCACAAAACGGTTCATCATACGATCTGAAAATTAAGAAAGGAAAAAAAAGAAAAAACAAAAAAACAAAAAAACAAGAAAAAAGACTTTGTAAAGGGTAAGTAGATTTATATGGGAAAACCAATTCCATATTTCTAAACTCTTAGAAACATTTGACCTCATAGACGCAGTTCACATTCATCCTTATCTCTCTGATGTTTTTGCCACACATTAGACCAGGGATGTTTATGCCCAGTAATTTCCCTAACTCAAATCAGAGAATAGTGTCATTGGTACTATAAACCAGTAGGAAAGATAGCTGATGGCTGACCAAAACCAACTTAAGCAAGAATTTGTTTTGATATAAATAAGGTACCATCACCCATGCATTTACATTAAAACTAGGTCAGTCCACTGAGCAAGGTGATAAAAAAAGAATAGGCCTTTGTAAGCAGCCTACAGATAAGGGACAAAATTAAAACCTCTAGAGAACTGAATTTTACCATAGCCTTTGCTCTGACACACAGTTTCAGGTACTAGCTTCCTTTGACATACATACAACTTGATATTATACCACCACTATTATAAATATCCAAGCAAATGGGGCAATCATGTCATGAGAGTAGTTGCATTACTGGTTTCCTATTAAATACTGAAGCACCCAAACTTAAGTCATCTGGAGGAAATTGAAACAGCCTGTGTCTATGGTCACACTATAAAAACATGATTTTACTTCCTATAAGCTGTTTAATTCTCCAGAGAAACCCAGAAAATGAGGAAAGAGGATATTCTAATCTCCTTGTGTCTTAACTTTGTCATAAAAGAAACAGTGTTTAATTAAAAAAGCAGCGTAACATGTTAATCACTCCTCTTTCTTTCTGCTCCACAAATATTTCAGCCAGCAGTTTGCCATCAGCTCCTTGAGACGGAGCCTTTTTTTTAGGGGCTGTACAGGCCACGTACATCAAGAGAAGTGGACTATGCATGCATGCACAGTTGCTAGGACCCACTGCAGCCTAACAACTCTTGTAATTTAAAAATCACTAAGATTTTTAATCTTAATCTATGCCTGGAAAGCCATTTTCTTAAATTGTAGTCCTTTGTGTATTACCTATCCCTGTACTGTGAATGAACCTATTCTGCAGAGTGTGTTTGTTGTTCCAACTTGAACCAAAGTGTTTCAAGGTATCCAAGTAAACTCTGTGACTTAACAGAAGACCATTTACTCAGAACTGTAACACTAAAATCCTACCACAAATAATCATAGTAACTGACAGGTTTTAAAATTCCTTCTGATCAGGATGTACCACGTGCTGTTACACAAGGGAGTACACAAGAACTGAGAGAGTGATTTAGCTGCAGTACCAGCCAGACTACTTTATCACCAGGTTTTAGACAACATTTAGTACAAAAGTGCTTAAAAGATAACAGCAGTTTAGTAACACCTCTTATGCAAATATATTAAATGAGTGAATTAATGCTCCACCCTACTTCTGATACCTATCATGAGACTCAGTGTAGGGGTCAGAGACCAAATCCCTTGCACCAGGCCCTGGGAAGTGCACAGTGACTTTACTGAAAGGGAGTCACAAACATGCACTGAAAGTCAATAAATGGACAGAAGATGCTCTCTGTATGTAGCTGATTTCCATAAATGTAGAGGTTTTCACACACTTTTCTATCCATTTAAGTCCTTAGATACCAATCAACATTCAATAAAGATGAGCACAAGGACTTCATCATTAAGTAAGGACAATCACCCATGCATATGGAAGGCATGGAACAATTCTGCTGGTAAAAGTGAAGAGATCATAACGCAGCAGAAGCTGTTCCACTGAGCAGCACTGTACTACTGCAAAAGAGGAAACCATCACACAACAGGTAAGTACAAGGCTATAGCCAGTAAAACAAGTGAAATAATCTATTTCACAAAATATGATGTCTATCTTTGGGCACAGCAATTTCATAAGAATATTAATTACTTGGAAACAGTCCAGAACAACAGCATCAATCATAAATCCTGAAAACATCAAAGCAGAAAAGTTGGAAGAACTGGCTTGTCTAGTAGGGAGGAATAAACAGATGTGGGGTGTTGGAATAGTCTTCAATTACAGAAGCACAAAGTTGCTTTTTTGTTCATAGCTCCAGAAGGTGAAGATTAAAAGAGAATCGGTATGTGCTAGGGAGAAAAGGGAATACAAGAGAGAATCGGGAAAGAAGTCAGTAGATACCTTTTGGGTCATCGGGAATGATAATGGGAGGAGCAATGTCTGGAAGTTCCTCTTCTCCTGGCTGAAGACCCCTGGCCCGAAGGTGGCTGATATCTAGGAAATCTGGCATGTCTACAGAAACATCTGTGAAAGTAGAAAAACAGGCTAAACTCATGAATCCAGCAAAATGACCCCGTGGTGCAACCTACCCCCTTCAGAGAAGGGATTCTGCTAGTCAAGGTATAAACACAGCAAGGATTCTCCTCCTGAAAACAGTTATTTGAGAAATTCAGAACACTAAAGCATAATTTAACTATGAAGTCAGGCTACACGAACCTGTGTTTTAACTCCACAGACCTGACGGATTGGTTTAATTTGTCATAAAAGTAAAGAAGATTCAATTAGGATCTTCAGAGTATAAACCTGAGACTCCATCCAGGTCCTCATTATAATGACTAAAGTGTGTTCATCTTATAGATTATCTTGGATAGAATGAGAAAAAGGTAAATATAAAAGGCACATACCAAGCTTTTTGGGTATCCAATCAAGGCCGAAGGTAAACTTCTTTATCTGCACCACTAAGTACTCAGGAAACGAAGCAAAACGAGAAGTCCTGGGAAGCACAAGAAATACAATTAATTGAAACAAGGCAACAACAAAAAAATCAAGATTTCAATACCTCATGCACAGATATGAATAATTTTAGCCCTGAGTGAGATCAGTAGTGATGGATTTTAGAAACAACAATTTTCAAGTACAATGGAGAAGTATGGCAGTAGCTTTCTATACATTCATACCCTGAATATCAGCTCAAACCCTTGCAGACAATTCAGCTTGTAGGAAGATTATAGAAAACAACAAGTAATAATAAACTTTCCTACTCAAGTTGTTCTGAAGTTGAATGTCAGGAAATACCTTTCAATTCCATATTGGCTATAACTTCAGGGCATGGGCTTAAAACATATCTTGGACAGAATGGAGTAACAATTAATCTGCCTTCTATTCAATCCTTTTCTAGTAACAGTAGCATTGTCCATGAGGTATCAGTCCACCTGATAAGTATGCTGATAAAGCATTTCATTAAGCAAAGATTTTAAAAGCTGTCATTTGTAGTTTTTCACATGAAAGTGCTATATAAAAAAAGTACATGATATTCTTATTGAGCTACTATAATAGTTATCAAAACAGAGGATCACTCTTGAGTGTAAGGGGATCACTGCTATTTGCCCACTTAGTGGAAAGTTTAATCTTGAACACAATGTAACATTATATGTACCACCATTCTACTTCTCTATGCTCTCATTTTTCCCACATCTAATCTCCTGCGTCCTTCCCTTTGTCTTCCATTCACACATACTATCCTTTCTTCTAATTCACCTAACTGGGTAAAATACAGTAAACGCATCATAAATTTAAGGCCTTCCTACCATCCTATAAATAACTACTTTCTAAGTTCTTGTTAGCACCACCTTGCAATTTTAATAACTTTATCCTGTGTAGCATGAAACTTTTAAATTTTAAATATCAAGTTATTCTTCATCTTTCAATGCTTTTAAAGACCTGGGAGATGAAAAACAGCTAAAACACAAATTAACCCTGTCTCTATTTAAAGACTAGAATGTTCTTCCAACATGTTCACAGTTAGTACAAAAAACCCTTTAGACTTCTGCTGCGTTTTTCTCTACCATGTGCATTTGTCTCCCAATTTTTACTACAATGTCAGGGAAACTGTATGCTAAGACAGCACTGAGTCATTGATATGTTAAGTGATCTAAAAATAGAAAGTGCCTAGCCACAGCAAACCAGTTGCAGAGCCTAATTTTCAACCACTCCTTGCTGCTGACATAAAAATGGAATCAGGTAAGAGCCTAACTCTCGTTCTCAGCAAGAAATACGGCCCCTGAAAATTGCAATGATCTCTACCTACTGTCCTATTTCTTCTTAATATTTTTTTAAGACCAAGATGTTCTTGGTTCTCTTATCTACCAAACAAGACAGGTTCTGTCTTTTCTATGTCCATCTTGTACCATGGTCCCATGTCAATGACAAACTTAACAGATGCAACTAAACGCTGTAACATACAGAGGTGATGCACTGAAATCCAAACACAAACAATAAATAATTACAGTTTTCAGCATAGCACTTCACAAGCACAAAATTTCCCATCCATCTAAAGAACTTCCTCACAAGAAACACAATCTTTGCTTGCTTCATCCTGTTTTGTTGCCACACAATGCCCTTCAGCATTTTTAGTCAAATGAAGAGATTAAGAGAGTAAGCACAGAGATCCAGACTCTATCTCCTGCCACACAATACAGTGCTCTATCACTAGCTGATACATAGAATCCGATTTGAACATGTGGGCAGACATTTAAGCTACAAGCATTTAAAGTTCAAGCTTTTAACAAGCAGACCGCGTCACCTCTTGGAGTTTGACAGTTGAGAACAATTTATTTCCTGCTCTATTGGCCATCACAACTCGCATCAGGCTTGATCTGCACATTAGATTCATAAGCCCCAACACTAATACAACGCCAAAGCCCACTAAGCTTTTGTCTGTTTGTCTCTGCATCATGTCCAGGTAGCACAGAGGACTACCATATAGGTTTTTAATAGGCAGCCAGACACATGCTTACTTAACTCCTGCAGATTTTGCTTGAAGGGCACTGCTCCAGAAATCCTCTACGTTGTTTGGTTCAGAAAAGGCCTGCAGACACGCACTAAATGGGATCTTGGCACGGACAAGCTCTGGTGGAGGTCTCCTTGCAGCTTCTGCTTCTCGCCTCTTCAATTCATAGGCAATTAATTCATCTGAGAAATACACATGACACTAAAAGTTAAATGAACATTGTCACGGTTATGATGTCCCTCAACAGTCGTATTTTTGCAAGATTTAGAAATTCAAAAACTTACTCAATGTTTTCCAAGGCTTTGACTAGACATTAAAACTTTTTGTCTGCATTGGGGTCAGGACCTACACTTACAATCACATCTCTTTTTTGAAGGTTTGTGTTCATGGCAAAACCACAGAACTGGAAATACTGGGCAACAGGCAATTAAAACCTTGCCATGACAGCCAGAATCCTGTGTTACTAGTATCACCAACTACACACTTCATCAGCTCAATCTGACTTGGAAGATTATTGCTGTCCGTGTCATCTGACTTTCTAGACAGGACAGGATTATGTGCACTATAGAAAGAGTCCTGACACTGGCAAGTTGAGCAGCATCATATGGCAAATTCATAAATATACCTCCTGATCCATTACCTGGAAATAACATATTTTTACAAGCAATAGGAATAACATATTTATAAGCAATAGAATCATCACTGAAACTGATGAACAAAGAATGTGAAGATCTCCAAAACTTAAATTTTCAAGTCAAATTATACTTTTAAAACATCCAGTTGAAGGAGTTGTGGGCTGGGTGAAAAGCAGCAGGTAGAATTCTCTGTCTTGTGCTATTTCAAAGGATCTGATCAAATAATCAGAACAGGTCCTTCTGCCTTTAAAGCATTTTAAATTTTGAGATTGTGTAGGAAACCAGAGGTGCATCCCCCTTCTAGTGTTCCTGTGATATCCCTTTCACTTCCACCTCAAGCATACATTTATTATGTTAGTCTGCAAGACTCCTCACCACTGACAGCAGGGGCAACCAAGATTTGTCAATACCTCCCCCTTCTGCTTTCAAGTCTTGTAGCCTCCTCAGCCTTTTTCTCCTTTAAAAACAAGTATGTTTTCTCAGGCAGCTCACAGGCAGTAAAAAAGCACTCAGGTATATTAAATCAATGTCCACCACTTCACTCTCCTTCCCTTCTCTCCTAAAGCCCAAAATATCAAAATTGTGTATTTTGACTTTATAGATGACAATCTATCTTATACTCCTATTCTTTATTTCTCTATTGTCATGTTAGCTCTTATAATCTGTTGTTAATCAATACAAAGCTCACTTGTTTTTTCGGTTGTTTTTTTGTTTCGGTTTGTTTTTTTTTAGGATTTTTTTTTGTGTGTGTGTGTGCTTGTTTTCACAAGCTATTCATTAGCTAGTATATTTGGTTCCTTTTTTAGAATTAAGAAGTTTTTATATATTGGTTCACTCTCAAAGACAAATGAAATCCAGTCCTAATCTAGATCTTTGGGCACACACATGCACAAAAAACAAGGGTAAATAAATTGTACTACAAGTGGTGTGGCATATCCCTGGGTCAAATTCAGGATAAGGTTTTAAATCACAAATCTCTGACACTTTTATCATACAAATTGCTACCATTTTTGGTGGTATCTTGCTGAGTGGTGACGCTTAATGATGGTTACACAGTCTGAGAAGAAATCTGTCTCAAAACTTGGCAAGAATATCCAGGTAGAATCCTTCTTCCCCAAAGATATAAGCAGGGATGGTAAAGCCACACACTGGTGCGTGTTTAAAATCCCCTTTAAAGAAACCCAAACCAACTGACTTTCTCCTGATGAGTTCATTGGTTTGATTTGCCATACGGCCCTGAACCATTCTACCCATATAAAGAGACCATATGGGGGTGAGAACTTAATTCCCTCATGATTGAGACACTCACCAGAAGGTCAGTCAATAGAGCATTTTCTTTCTTTACCTTTGTTTGTTGCTGCCTCCATGGCAACAGGTAACTGCATGATATAGTCCACCCTCTCTGTGTAGCGGACCTTTCTGGACTGGCAGCATTGTGTGCGTTCTTCCACCAGGAACCGGAAAACATCGCTAGGGTTTTCTGAACCTACAGGGTTCCTCTGAAAGGAATATTCGATCCAGTCATGTATGTGACGATCATTAAAACAACCCGAGAACCCAAAGGCTGATGGTTGTTTTATGGCAAGGACAAAGACACCAATCTTGCACCCAGATCTGGCAGCTCAGCTTGCATTTTACTGCATGCAGAACTCTTGCACCCACAGAGAATCCCACTGAAGTCTACAATGTCTGCATACACAGCAGTATCTTTCTACACGCAACTTGCTGAGTCTGTACCTAATGAATCTGACTGAGTCAAGGTGAACAGAAGAAGGTAGGAAGGTGGCAGGTTACAATAAAGAAAGCAAGCTCAGGTAAATAACACAGAGCATCTTTTCAGCAAATAGAATTGCTCCTGCCACTCTGAATCTGCACTGAAACAGAACAAGCAACTTGTAGTTCATTATCCAGATGGGAATGTCATACAAATAACATACCTCCTCTTTATTGTTCATGTTAATGTCTGTTATCAGGCAAAACCAGAAGAATGTCTTCTAGCCACTAGTCTTCTAGCTATAATCAGTACATGCGTTTGGGGATGTGGAACAAAGTTATTCACATTTCAATGCATAAGGTAGACTATAACACATGAATAAACACACTCAATCTTGGCAAAAATTGGAAAAAGAGGGAGGAAGGATAGACAAGAAATACTTTAAATCAAAACTGCACGTATCTGTAAATTTCCTTTTCAATAAAGACAGCATTAAAATTCACAGTACTGATTCTTTTACACACAGCGTTGAGTTGGAGCTCAGTGGAACATCTTATAAAGAAATATTCAAGTGACAAATAGTCACTTTGCTTTCAGCAGGGGAGTCCTTTCTCCCGTAATGATTCACTGACATACAGCTGGGATTTGTAAAAGAACTGGACATGGTAATTAGTTTGCTCTCAATGATGGTATTAATGTGGAACAATAATAATAATCATAATACCCAATTCATTAATATTCCAAGACACACTTCAATATGGTAAACAAATGGATAGCATGTAATCATAAAACGAACAGCAATTTAAAAGGACAGTCACATATGTTTATAAAACTTATAGCCTGTACAGTGATGCATGGCCTCTATATTTCCTACAGTTATCATCAGCAGCATTGGCCTTGTGTGTGGTCATGCAAGAGTCTGAAGTAAAGAGAAGGGACCATCAAAGCAACAAGTGTTTCTAAACCAAAGTAGATTTTAATTAGTGCCATTTTCTACATATACAAGGCTAAAAAGAGTATAATAAAAAACAAGTCACTCATATAACAGCTCTGCCCTCATTATCTAATATAACCAGGGGGGAAAAAAAAAAAGCAGATTTTCTCACCTCTACTAGATTTATAAGATGTAGGAAAAATTCCTGTGCGTCTTGTTGTCTGTTAGAGGAAAATTCTGGGTGGCCTTTACTTATAAAAGCCTTAAACATTCGGGGAGATATTCCATTGTGTTGAGGCTAAATAAAGGAGAGAGAAACCTTTTAAAGAAGGATTTTTATTAATTCCTGGACCAAATATCCCAGTTATTCCACTAGATCTATCTATGACCCATTTCTGCCTCTGGAGAAATAATAGTTTCAATTTCATCTGGTTTTCAATTTTAATAAAAATTTGGGACTTTTAGGATATATTTTATGACATAGTTCCTACAGCACTCAATCTATCAGATTTTTCTATGGTATTTGCAAGTTAAAAGAGATTTGCTAAAGCCTAGTAGTTTTCAGAAAGGCTAAAAGCCTACACTGTTTTCTAACAGCTGAGATTGTTTTCAGAACCCTGTTCCACCTAAAATTATGTGGGCATTGAAGCACTTTGGTGTATCAGCTAGCAGCCTTACTCAGGACAAAACCTTTCCAGAGATCTCTGAAGAATCAAGCAGAGAACAACTCGTGTGCCGCATGCATTCCCAGATGGGTTGTTAAGAACAGACATGAATTTGCAATTTGCAGGTGTCGGTCATGTTGAAGGACCATAACATACTGCCTTTAGTCATTCAGTTACATCAGTAGCAAACGACCCTAAATTAGAAAACCTCTAGCTTCCAAGAGAGTCCTAGTTTTGACTTTCTCATCTTAAGAAGCCTTCCCAACCACCCTAAATTGCATCCTTAAGACAACACTAACTATTATGCCTTTTAAGTAACACTTCTGAAAGGGTCAAAATCTTTTACTCTGCTTCTTCCTTATGCTCCATGAGACCAAATATTTTTTCAGACAATCCAAGCAAAAGTGTAGTCTTTAGCATATGTCAGACACTGTTAAAATCTCAGACAATCTCATTCTTTAATACAGTTGTGTTATCATACTAATATAAAAATAGAAAAAGCAGCATGAAATGGAAGGCACATAAAAACACATACAAAAAGATCAAAATTTTATTCTTGGTTTCACAAGGGCAAGGTATTCCTAGATCCATTGAAATCAGAAGCAGATTCTCAATTTTAATTCTTCTTCAATTGCTGGCAGTACACCAGCAACAGCATTAGGCTAAGATGCTCTTTAAAGGCTCTCCTAAAGAGACAGAGTCCCAGTATTGCTTGAACAAAAGAGATGTTCTAGGGATTTCTGAATCTTGGGTTATATATCACTTCAGTGTCCTCAGCTGCCTTTCATCAAAGCTAGAACTGGGGAGAGAAATACATAAACCATCTCAAATTGTCATATATGAGGCTTCTTTCTATGTCAGAAGCAAGAATATGATAAGATGGCATATTTGCCCTGATGTATAATGGAAGGAGTTTGAAATCAAGCCTTGTTTCCACCTATATACCTTTTTCCTCAGCCATCTGAGCAGGGATAAGAGAAACATGCCATGTGTGACAGTCTATAGAAGAGGACTGGATCTTGCCCTCTAAACCCTTCTCACCTCAAGGACAAGAAAAATAACAGAAGAAATGGCAAAGCTCTGAACCAAAAATCAAGTCCTAGCTGATGACCCTTTAGGCTTTCAGTCTGTTTTTAATGTTAAAGTGGTCCTAAGAAAGCTGCTGCCATTTCCAGACTAAACTCCTGTGGAGAAAAATTTCAGCTCCGCAGTACCACGAATATTTATAGAATACCTAGCATACTTTCCCCATCAACAGTTGCAAAACAGTTTAGCTAAATATAGACTGTGCTGGACCACTGCAGATCTCATGAATGCTTTTACAGGCAACAACTCCCCAAAACTTTGGATGAATTCCAAAGACCAAGAAAGCTAGAGAACTTCTTTGCATGTAGGAGGGGAAAAAAGTAAAAGAATAAAAATAAAATGAAAAATTATTTTATAGAAACAAAGCAGAAGCACTTGAAAACACTGAAGGCCTAAAATCCTATGCAATTATATTTATTATAAATGTTAGTACAACTCTCTGAATTAAGAAATACTGTCTGTCTGTATACCAGTATTATCGGGGGAGCAGGGGTGTGTGTGTAAGCCACCAAACAAAGAAACGTACCCCCAAAATGTCAAAACAGGTTTGTATTCCTCGAGTGAGGGAACGGAGAAAATATCTATACTTGATTCTTTTTTTTCTAAATAAATCTTCAATACAGCAAAGAACAGCAGTAAAAGCTGTTTCAAATCCTAACAATTCATGCTATGAATTGCTTGTTAAGGAAGTCATCTGATGCACATAACTACCAACTTTAATAAACTGAAATTATGAATACCACAAATATTGTTAAATGCCACCAGATGGCTACTGCTCCCTGACAGAGTTCTATACCATTTGTCATTAAAAAGTTCTCAGTATCTCATTGCTAGTAGTGGCTGCTGGGCTAAACATGGAGGTGTAGCTTTATTCGAAGGGTTCAAGTCCCTGAACTTCCAGCACACTGTTCTTCACTCGTATTCTGTATGTGTTTAGCTTATGTGTACTGACTGACCTGCTTTCTCAATGTGAAGAGTCTGTTAAAATCTATTCTGCTATTAGTCATAGCGATGCACTGATAAGTTTTAAACTTTATTTAAGGGAAATGAGCAGGATTCATCTGTTGTTCCAAAACAATGAATAGCTACTGCACAAGGCAATTACTCAGGAGACATAGGACTTTCCGATCATGCAAACTACTCTGTACCAGATGCTCTATCTCTGTCAAAAGTCTCCTGGGCATCCTGATTTCAGGAGAAATTCCTATATCAATAACTGATAGATGAAGGTAGAGAAAAATATGTATTTCCATGGAAACTATCACCATGATTCTGTGACAGAAGCATACGTGACTTCTACTGTGTTTAAAACTACAACTTGGTATTAGAGATTCCTTCTCCATAAAGACAGCTCTTTTCTACACATAGTGTTTTCAGTATTGGTTATTAGTTGACCTTTCATTTCTAAATACCCATCTGTGGAGTCTGTGGTTTGACTCTACATGCTGCTTGAGGTCACAATAACAGAGGCTGGCAGGGAGACAAATATATTCTAGGTCCAGTTTTCCCAGCATCACTCTAAACAAGACGTTTCAAGATAGATGGTTTGAATTGTCGAACAAACCCAAAATAACAAATTTGCTTGGGTAGATAGCATTGTCCCAATAATTAACATTTTGCTTAAGACAACTGTTAATTCAACAACTCTACAGAAAACAAAGGGTATTCCAAAAGCATCAGAGCTGGAGCAGAAATGCAAAATCTGAACTAATCATCTCACTCTCCAAAGGCTGATGGAAACTTAAATCTACTTACGAAAAGACAATAAATTTTCCATCTCACCACTAAGCTACTGATTGATTTTGAAGTATAAAAGCTATCAAGAACAGGAAAAAAGGTAAACCAGTGAATCAGGCAATGCCCATTAACCTTGTTAATACAGATAGATCAGTGAAGCCTTCATTAAAAACTTTACTGCTAAAACCAAAAGACTGTTGGACAAAGAATATGAAGATGTTTTCTGATGACTGCGAGAGTGAATGTATTTATTGCTGGATGAGGAAAAAGCACAGACAGATGAAGACACAGGTCTATGGATGTTACAATGCCAACACATGCCTTAATGATTTTTGCAGCGTAAGACAAACAAGCAACTTTCATGTTGCAAAAGAACACCAAGAAGGCAATATGAAGATTACAGAGCCAACAACACTGAGGTTCTCAAAGCTAGATACGAGGTAGGTATTGTGAGCTAAGTATCTGTTTTGCTCAAAAATTACTGCAAATTAAAGTAAATATAAAAGAACTGTCTCTTACTGGCAACATTCACTGACAGAGAAATAAACTCTGTATTACATAAACATGGGGGAAAGGTTGTTTCATCCTCTAATTCCCCTCTCATTTGTGTCTGGAGTGTTAGCTAGTTCTTGCTCCTCAGCATACCTTTGTTCTGAAACTGCCTATTCTGAGAAAGCTGATTCCAAGGGTTTTTTTTCTATTCTGAATTATTATAAATCAGGGTATATACATTGCTCTCCCCAGGTTGCTCAGCAATTAGTGTTTTAATTTATATCTAAAACCACGTATACTGCTGTGTTTCCAGGACAGATCCTACTGGCACAGATATGCTTCTACATGACTTCTGTACCATGAAATACTTGAATAAAGCCCCAGTGGAGACGGCTCACCATGGCCCCTCCATCTACATGAAAGCCTCCAGCACCACTTAATCTTCCATTACCTAGACAGCTTCTTCTGAAATCAGGTGGAATACTGTTAGACACTTCCTGGAAACAATTCTTTAGCTCTTTATACTTCTTTTTGAAATTTAAAGAGGGTTTAGAAGTTTGCTTTCAAATACTCAGGACTCCCTCGATAACTTTTTTTTTGTTCCTCAGAGGAGATAAACTTAAGTTGTAAGTTCTATGAACTTTTGCACTCATCACTGGAGCAGCAGAATATTAGCAGGACCAGTGGTTGCTTTAACACTCTGCACAAATAGCCCCTGACTAATATACTCCTGACTAGAATCCTGCACATTCCACCTTGCTAAGCATCCCATGCTGGATCCACATGTGTTCTTCAATGCCCAGCACCTGTTCCCTTTTCTCAGGATATCACTTTTACCTAGCTACCAGGCTGTACAAACTCAGTCAAATACCTTGTGTTCTTCTTTCATCACCTGCTCAATAAGCTCAGATTTCATGGGTGGCTTAGAGTACTGGCCTGAAAGGAGGCCATGTCCCAGTTTAGCCCTGTAGGGAAGAAAGTGGTGGGGTGGAAACAAACATGAGAAAAACAGGAAAGAGGAGAAGATTTTTATTCCAAGCAAAAAAAGTTTACTGTCTTTGACCCCCTGATGAAACATCATTACCTGCAACTCAACAGGCAAATCTTCACATTCTACCTTGTGCCATATCTCACTTTCAAGCCCAAGCAGAGGTGCTCTTTTGTCTTGCCATTAAATTATTCAGATTCTATTTAACTTGACCAAGTAAACCATTAAGAAGTGTCACTTACATCTGAGTGTTGAAATCTTGTGTTGGATCAAGAGGAGAGTAGTCAAATATTCGTGGAAGGTTTCCCACATACCTGGGCAGCAAGAACAAAACAGAAACATTCAAATATTGCAGCTAGAATTACTCAAGGACCTCCCCAATAGATCCTTAGCTGTGATACATCAGCAGGCTTCCTCTGTGCTAATCACTAAAATTTTGCATCATAGCAATGACTTAGCCTATCCCTGGTGAGTGCTCCTATCACAGAAAAGTACTAGTAAAGAAATTATGAAATGGACATTTAGGTTTTGCTTACAAGCTTCTACCTATAATGGATACGGCAGTGATGTCCATCTGGAATTTAAATGCTATTCTTTGATCTTGAAATAGCTGCAGGATACTGTTGCTCAAAACCATATTGCTGGGCTGAGAACCAGTGTACTAGTTACTCCTAACCAACATCGCCAAATAAATTCTAAATTTGTATCAGGACCAAAACATGTAAAAAGAATGTTTCTATTGAGTTTCTTCAGAGAAACAAAGGCTAACTCCTGAGAATCAACAGAGGTATGGATTGTTCTAGCCAGTTTGTTGGAAAGTGAAGCATTTAGTATCAGACTATCTGAGCATTGCTTCCCTTGAGCACAAGAGAAAACAGACTAGGTATGTATGGCCATGTTGAAAGAACACATCTAATTTCTGCTTGGTCCCTCTTTCATCAAAGATCTCCACTACTTTGTTGATGCTAAGTTCTCCAGGTAACTCCAAGGACCTTGCTGTGGAAAACAACCTCCCTTAGTAAAGTCCATTTTGGTATTTTTCAAAAACAGAGGTAGAAAAGCTGGCACTTACTGAATCTACAGACTGTACTCTGTATGGCTAACAAAGGAAACAAACACAAGATTTCTCCTTCTTCTCCAGAAGGCAATTGCTACATGAAAACCTGGGAGACTTTCCAAAATCTAAAAGCCTTACTTCCAGCACACACACTGCTACTACTGTGGAATGAAAGAGCACTCTGAATTTTATTGCAAATCACAGGCTGTCCTTTATAAGAAGCCTTCTCTCCTTGGAGTGATGTGTTCAGTTTTGATCAGTCAGGAATAGTTCATGTTCTTCTGTTGTGCTTTTGTCTTTTACTCTTAATTATTCAGTGGAAGAATATACTCACACTAATCTTTTAATGAAAAAAGATAATTTTTTAAATAGAATTTTAATTAAAAAACATCTCTGATAGTTTCCTCCTTCTTAGCCAGACCTGCATGCAAAAGCTGAATTGCTCTTCACTTGCGTGAATCAATATAAACAAGTTTGTGCCAGTACAGTTTTTTTACACAAATGACACTGGAGCAATAGAATGATTCCTGCAGAAATACGAAGGCATGGGCCAGTACAAAAAACTCTAATGTGAAGCTGATGATACCAACATAAACAGAGATCTGTACATATGTATATAAAAAGCAGAGGCCAAGAAATGAATTTTATACAGGTGACATATGACTTCCCACCACTGAAGCCAAGTAAGTTCTGATTTCAAAGGCAGATTGGGTTTTGTGTTCCAACCTTTTCCAAAACAGAACAATACAATCATAAAATCCTCCAAGCAGCCAACTGACTGAAAGAGACCTGCTTGCAGGTGAGACAAAAATTAAAATACCATTTTTCTTAGAAAAACGAGGAGATTGAGGAATGCAGCACATAGTGACAAGAATTAGTTTGAAACTACTTACGCTCTCTGGAACTCTGGGATGCTGAAAATGGCTTGCATGACGGCATTGAGGTAGCAGCTATTTCCTAGGTTCTTCATTCCAGTGTATCCTGGGCCATACATGGGCTTGAGTTTCACACCAGCTTCCTGAATCACTTCCCATTCAGAGACTCTGGGTTTTATATCATTATCTCTTAGCCCATTCTCTGTCTGAAAGCAACAAGATTTTTTTTCTTTTTTGCTTAACTTCTGCAACAATGCTGCTGCTGCTATCATCATCACCAACTTTGTGATCTATACTCTAGAAAGTAAGAACCAAACCAACAGACAAAGGGAGGTAAATCCTGAATGTAGGGGAGAAGATCAGGATCAGAAGGCTAGCAGCTTGTTCTTCTAATATACACCTTAGCTCTTTACCACAGACCACAGGCTCTTTGAGTGTTCCTAGCTGTGACCTCAATCCCAGATGGGAGCTTCACTTCTCTCAGGGCTGTGACCTCAAGCCTCAGTATCAAAACACTGCATTTTTTCAGGTTTCATATTCCATTTGTAATGGTCAGGAAGAGCTACTGTTGTAGAAGCTGGTACTAGCAAACTAACCACATGAGAAGCTGAAGAACCAAGAACTCTTCCCTTCTTTCAAATGGGAGAAGCCAAAATTTGTGACACTGAAGTTTCTCCCCTTTATAGCTCAGCTTTCAGCTAGTAGGTACAGGTCACTACAGTGTCATTTACTGCTAACACTACTCCACCACTTCACTAAGAATTTTTCAGACTGGTCTGAAGACCCGAGACAAAACCTTTAAAACAGCTGAGACTGTTTTCAAGGCTCCGAGTAAAAGAGGTTTTCCAGAAAGACTGCTGGATAAATGAGACTTTTCATTCATGATATTTGCAAGGAAATTAGTATACCAAAAATATTATTAGTACCAGAAAGGCCTTTGAAAGTTCAGTGTAACTCTTCTCTATCATTTTAGAGTTATTATTAGTTTTCTCTCCACTTGGACAATGAAATACACTAAACCAGTATCAGGTTTGTTAATTTTTAACAGCATTCAGGTTCTCAGGAAGTGATTCTAGGTTTGAGTGAAAACAAAACAAAACAAAACACCCCCCAAAGAAAACCCCACCTGCCATTATAACCATATCCCATTCGGACTTCTTAGATCTTTTTAACAGAACAGGAATCAACATCCACTAAGATACAAATCATTAAAATACTTCTCTACTAATACAGCCCCACAACAGGAACAGGACCTTTTTTGCCCCAGTCCCTTTCTAATGTACCACACTACAGACCACATTATTTTCTAGACTTGAGAGAACATAATTTTTCATTTTGTAATGTATCTATTAAGACCTAAACTGAAACTTCACATATAACTATAACTTTACATAAAGAACCTTTCAACCACTTTTTTTTTTACTTATCTATTGCTTAGCTTATTTTTGCTTAAGATTTGTATCTGCTTACACATGCAGTAGGCCTTCCTTCACTCACTGTAATTAAATATTCTAGATATTCTTCTCTAATTGAATGAGTTTTTCATCTTGAAGGAAAACAGTACATAATACATGAGAAGTGAAACTTATAAAGTAAAGACCACAGAGGAACTCTTTCAGAAGGCAACTTTTGCATTTGAGAGTAATGATTCACTCATCTCAGACCTCAGAAAATAAACCACAAACTGTCTGGGTGAACTTTACAAAACTAAATACTATCATAACAGTCTGAAGGAATTACAAATATAAACTACAAGTATCATTCTCCTGTTTCTCTCCCACCCCAACTACGCAAGCAACAAGTAAACAACAAACTAAATAAAAGATTGATTTCCTACCACTTGCATCTGCAGCATATCAATTCCAAAGTGTGCCAAATGTTTTGCTATATGCGGATCTAAAACTGGCTCCTCTTCATCAAAGGAATAGACATCTACAAAAGCAGAGAGAAACTGATGAGCTGTAGTATTAAATGTTATCCCTTCTCTTTGTTTACCAACATTGCATTCTCACTACAGGACTGCCTATACAAGATGCTTTACTCACATCCTCAAAGTTTGTTTATGACCAGCAGAAAAATGCAGAGACATCCATATAACTCAGTAAATACTCTCCTCAAAATAAATTACATGCCTTCACAGTATTAAAACCTAAGAATATTTATAGTGATAATACTATTTTGCCCTCCAAAATAATACATTTGTAGGAAAAACAAGGAGTGGGGCACTCAGGTATGTGGCCAGTCCACATTTTAAACATGGCAATGAGAAATTCTGAATTTTTGCGGAGCTACTAGATATAGGCAGACACATATGGGGCCAACTGACTACTGCCAGTGGTATTTTAATTTCTTGTGAAGTTCAAGAAATCCACTTCTGCCCTTTTCCCACAGAGATGTGAGAACTGAGAAACTCCATATTAGAAAGAAAAAGGTGTTTATTGGATTGGACAGTATTGGATTGGACTTTAAGATTAATCTTGTGATTAGAAAGAAAGGCTGATTTTGTGACTAAGGTGTCTTGCTTTATTGTATGGGACATTTCTAGTTCAGTTCCAGCTCTATGATAGGTCCTTATGGCCCTTAGGAAAAGGATCCAAGTGTAAGACATGCACTAGTAAGACCTGAACAGGTCTTCCATCTTTTCTTTTCTGGCTTCTTCCTCTGTAGTGAATAACTACTTCCCTGCTTTGGTCTCTACTCATACCAAAACCCAGAATCTACCAGTCTGCCTACACTTCTCTCAGCCAAGTTTCCTTCATGCCTAGCAAAGTTTCTCCCAGTGACCTTGCCCTGTATGACCAGATCTAGGCTGACAGAGAAAACTTAGCTAGGAGAAAGATTAAAAACTCAGGAGAAGAGAGTGGGAACCCAGATAAAGGCTGTTCACAGCACAAATACTGCTTCTGAAAGTTACCCTGCTCTCTCCTGGAAACTAAAGACACTGGCTCTGACTCAACTTATCCACCCCTACTTAACACTTTAACAGAAAGGTGGTCTCCTTGAAGTCTGCTAGTTCCAAACCCACACTGTAATGATAGGTTGAAGGTTAGACTAGAATGCCAAGACCTAATGCAACTTTTAAAAGCTACCAGCCCTATGAAAAACATCAACTCTCTCAAATCAGGGAATTATGGTTTTGAGTTGTGCTGCCAGCTGCCGATTAGCCATCAGACTCTCTATTAACATTGGTCCTGATGACTTCTCTGGCATGCATGTGGCTGTAGCTGCCCATCTGCTGGAATTCCACTGTGTGGTAGCAATCGTGTCCAGAAGAAAAGACTGTTCATCCACACAAGAGATCACAGCATTCCCATAGTCTTCTAGTGAGGTCACAGCACAGCCAAAAGATCCTGAAAAGTTCAAACACCTAATGGAGCGAGATTACACATCAACTTATCTTGGGTGACTACTTTCAGTGTGGAAGCTTTGATTTTGTTTTTCCTCAGCTCTGGCAATGGAAGAGATAACAGCCATCTGGGACTACTGACCCAGAGTAGCAGAAATGGAATGCAAGACACATTATCTTTTGCTCAAGCCCAGTTTGTATCATATACTTTAGTACTTTCTGCTGTGTAGCTAACTTGAATGCATGGGAGACACAGAATTCACTTATTTCAAAATAATTGAAGAGCAGCAAATCAAAGGAAAAAGATGAGAGCTTCCAAACACAGGTCTGTAGTGCTGTCGTAAGGACTCTGGTATATAACAAATGTAGACAAGTCAGCAAATGCGACACACAAAAACTGGTATTAGAGTGAGAAAGGGAAAAAAGGGAGGAACATAAGGGGAAAAAAAAACAAAAAATACCAAGAAAAATTTGAGACAGACAACAGAGAATCTTATTAAAAAGAATTATTATGGTAAGAAAAGAAAAATTACAATGCTACCTGTACTTCCATTTCTTCCACAACTCAAGGTTTACACCTGTTCTGGCTGTGTAGACATCATTCATTCCTACTTAAAGGATAACAGACAATGGAAACACTGTTCCAGAAGAAACAAGTTGCTCAGGACCCCAAAGAAGTATCTGACAACTGTCAAGACTGGCATCCACAAAGCAACTCACTCAAGTACCTGTCAGATGGCGCTTCCCACTGCCAAACTCCCATTCCACTCCCCAAAACAGTGTCACACACACAACCTCACAATGACTTGAAATTAAATCTAACAGCATTGTCGAGAAGCAGCAGGTAGCACAGTCTGACGACTAGTACAACCTACTCAAGCAAGCAACTTGTCTGACTCTCATGCATCCTGTTCAAGGTCCAAGAGTACAACACAGAAGTTTGGTTCAATTTCTGCCTTAATCCCAGTTCTGTTTGTTCACAGAATGCTACAAAATGGAGCTAATGACCCAGAAATCTTTCATAATGTATACAACACAGATTTCTCAAGGAGAATCTTTCTTCCTCTGCTCCCTCTGTGTACGTAGGGTAAATTTAAGTGGAATACTGGCACCACCTCTTTCTCCTTCTTACTGGTGTGAAAAAGGAACAAGTTATGTCAGCAGAGGGACTAACACTTATTATTCCTCTACCATCACCTCTTCACCTCCAGCCCAGGGAAGCAGAAACCACAGACTGCGTTACAATTAGCCACAGCATTTCTTTCCTGAAGCTCATCTGTCACCCAGCCCTATCAAGAGGTTATGATTACCACTGCAATACAGATCAGAGAGAGAATAATTACTGAAAAGGAAACAAGGAGGTTTGGGGGAGGGAAGTATCTTCTATAGGGAAACCAAGTAAACATCATCCAGAAGAACAAAGGTCTGTGGAGAACAGCTGGTGCCCCTCATTTGGAGGGAAGGATGACAGCCTGTCCTTTGTTATCCCAGAGGCCATATAAGAGAGGAAGCAGATGATCAGTGGGAGGCAGAAAGACAGCAGCTATAAGGAAACAAGTATTGCTGCTGAAAATAAGAAAAAAAAAATCTTAAAAAACCTAAATAATATTTTGTTATTTTGTAGGTGCAGTTGAAGCCTACAGCTGGGTAAATCCTAAACACCTTCAGTAATTGAAAGATTCAGATAGAAATCATCCAAGACCAGGCTCATGCAAGGAAAGAATATTCCATTTGAGAGAGAAAAGAATGAATTTTGCTCGGTGTCTCTGTGGCACAGCTGGTTGCATCTGACTACAGTCTCCTTTTCCTGACACTGAATAGGACTTAAAGATGAAAACCTCTCTACTGTTTCGCTGTGGTAAAAAAAGGGGCTACTCTAAACAGCTATTTTTCATCCATACAGCATGATTATATTTTGGTTTTAGTACTTATGACCATGTGTTCTTCCATTTTTTTATTTCTCCATATAGCTGCAGCAAAGGATATTGTTGCTTATGACTTTTTCACCTTCTCGTGTTTTTACTTCATCTAATCCTCACACACCACAATCTTCTCCACAGCAACACTGCAGAACATCACACTGAGAATATGCAAGTTAGGATACATCTATAACTTTCCCCACCTCTCAAGATCATCAGACATTGTACAAACAAGCATCACAGCAGCCCCATGAAGAATGAGTGTTCATTAGACTGAACACAATGCTACTGAGACAATAAGGAAAAATAGCAGTTTCCAGTATGATTAAAAAAAAAAAAAAACACAACATGCTGTTAAAAATGGACTTTGACTTTAAAAAGTCATTTTTAAAAGAAAAAAAGAGAAGAAACAACACTGTTTCTATGTTACATAAGATTGAACAATTTGCCCTAGCAGATGTAGCAGAACTGAAAAATACTGTTTCTCCAGATTGTGCAGTTTCAAAATAATAGCATTCTTCTATTAAAAATCTATTGTTATACAAAGCCAATATACAGTAAATATAAAACAAGAGGAAAAGATAAAAAAGGTAAGGGCTTTCTCCGAGTGGAGTGTGTGTCATTCCCCCCGACTCCCATCAAGATTCACAGACTCACAGGATTTTCTTTCCCTATCACACTCAAACATTTGCACTAGAAGCACAAACCCACTTGGTAACAGATATAGACTGTTAGTCTCATGCACAAAAGGTGCTCCATCTCAGAACCTGCCAGGTGGCTGACCTGCTCCATCAGGAGTGATGGTTCCCAGCTTCACTGCCAGGGGATAACCTGTCTCCTTGTAGTGCTCCATTGCATGCCCGTTCCCCCCACTGCCATCGAAGAACCACTTTCCACACAGCACAGAACCATCTGTCAGGTTTAGCCACAGATTCTCCCGCAAGTCACATTTTGAGCATTTCCAACCGCTGCAAGAGAAAACAGGAAAAAATAACTGAAGTAAGGCAGGAATCAGTCCTGTATTTCCAAGGTAGGTCAAATCAAGCGCACACACTCAGCCCGGAGTCATGCAAGAGAACTGTTGGCCAAGTTTCCAGCTTTAGTTCTGTTACTCTGGACTGTATCAGAGACTGTACAATAGACAAACCTTATTACCCTCACCTGGGGGGAATTCTAACACCATTGTCTAACTGTACAAGTGTTTTGGCATGTTTAGATGCCTGTAGCTCTTCTTCCCAGGAGTCAGGGTCCTGTTTCCTGTAGGGTGATTTTGCACTGAGGAGTGCATCACAAGCTATTGTCACCTGGAAGACAAACATATGTCAAACAAAACCTAACAATTCAGTGACTGGACAGAACTTGGCATTCAGCCCATTGCTGATCACATACAGAACTGGACATCAGTAAGACTATTAAATACGTATGTAATCTTCTAGATTGCAGTTATTATTTTAACAAGAGACTAAGCACAACATGTACTATGTGAGCTTCCCTGGGACAAGCTGGTATCATAATAAGGGAAGAAATACAGGAGGTAAAAGGAAATCCAAGAACTAAAGACAAAACAGACTTCCAAAAATTACTGACTCTCTATTATTGCTGGTTAAGAAAGATCTTTACGTAAAAACAAACACCACATGCAAGAAAACAAAGCATCATCTTGATAAAAACTGAAGCAGGAGACAATTCCTATCATCACTTCAACACACTCACTGACCAGTGCTGGTAACTCTTCTATATTGGGTAATGAGATTTCATAGTGATCAGGAAATATAACGAGTTTTACTTCATCTTCATATTCAAAGTCATCGCTGTTGAGATCACTGTTTGTCTCTAGATCTGAAAAACAAGATGGGGAATGTTAGGAGATTGTCTTAAGAACTACCATGAAGCATTGCTTGCCTGGCATCAGCCTGCAAGTTGACACTGTCAATAGTTTCTTCTGGTTAAAAATGTTTGTGAAATCCTGATCTAAACTGAAATCTGACCATCCTACCAGAGGATGTTCTGAGGACCAGAATTTCCATCTTAATCATATCCCCAGTCACAGCGACAGTTGGTTTGGCCTCTCCTCAAACACTGTTGCAGACATCACATTCTGGGAAGCAGCTAACAAAATTCTGCTCATTTTGGACAAAAGAATCAGGATGTAATATTGCTGTGTCTTTCACCCAGGATCTGAAAACACTACGCAATATTGAGACCAGGCCACACTACCCATGTGGAAACTGCAGAACAGGAATAATGCACTGATGTTTCAGCCCCCCATATTTTCCAGATCAGACACCTGGCTGAAGCACACTATGGCTCTCATCCATCTTGAACCTGTGGCCTTTCCTCCCATGAAGATTCCACAGCCAGAAGTATTCCCACATCTCATCCATAGCTTCAAATAGCTACAGCAAGTACAGCTATACCAGCATTATCCCTCTCTTGCTAACTCCATTCTGTAAACAGTGTAACTATCTGTTTAAAAAGCACTTATTAACTAATAAAGATTTCCTTTGAAGATCAAGCTTTCCACAGCATTTGTGTACACTTTTGTGTAAAGATTACTTTTTTGTTTAAATATGAGCCTTAATCAAGAAATATTAGCTAAAATGCTTGTTCAGAAATAAATGGACCCAGAGAAAAGCCAAGAGGGCATATAAGTAACTAAATGCCTAGTGTTTTTATCTCTAGCTTCATCAAAAGCGTAATTATCCCATAGTGACAAGGCTGATTTAAAATCCTGCTCAGTTCTTTCCAGGACAACTGAAAAAGTTGAAAACAAACACGCGCATGTTGTGTCAGTCATTTCACGAAATACAAATGCAACAATAGCCTGAGCAAGGACGGGATCTTCTGGATCCTTCCGCCATCTGCAGATGCTGGATCTACTGTATTCCAATGTACCAGACAGTCACTGACAGAACAAGGTTCAACCAAGAAAGAATGTGCATTAGCAGTAGCTAAAGCAGGCTCTTATTTTCACTGCAAGTACATGCATATGCTTAACGAGTCGCTCAATACTAAACAAGCATTGGCAGCAACCAATGCACCCTGGGAATGCCTGAAATCTCAAATGTATATTTGGGAGAGAAGTGAGGATGACAGAGGCCAGATTCAGAAAACTAAGCTCTCTATTTACCCAGTGGGCAGTAATAGCCTGAACATCCTAAGTGACAAAACAAGCATCAAAAGATATTTTAACTTAACCTGGAAAGACTACCTCTTGAGTGGAATATAATCTGGTTTCCATTCAATTCTTGGCTCACCTGCTGCACCAGCCAGTCCTGAGGGGTGACAACACCCACTGTCAGTGACTTTCAGCAGCATGACCTCTTTCTCAGCAGCAACCAACAAAAACTCCTTCTCATCAGCTGAGTATCGACACAAAAGCAAGAACTTTTTCTTATGCTGAAAGCATGATATTTATAAAGAAAATATTACTAATTCCCCAAATCTCACTATTTTTGTAATGATCCCTTCCCTTACTGCACCATAATAGAAACAACCAGTGACCTCACTTTATTCCGGGCTTCTTTCCCACCTTGTATTACAATCCTGGGTTTTGATAAAGAAGTGAATCGCAACAGATACAGTCTGCAACAGTAAGCTCTTGTGCCCCATGAAGCAAAGAAACTGAGTATCTCCAAGCTGATGATACATATGGCAACACATCACAGAGAATTTTCACTGAAGCCAAAAGTACTGACCACCTCCTAAATATGACAGAGATTCCTCACAGCCGATAAAAACTCAGTGTATGTTCAGACAGGTTTAAACACCAGGAACACCTCTGCCAGGGCCTGCAGTCACACACTTCGCTCAACCACCAGAGGGAACCTGAGGACAGTTCACATCAGCCACTGTTACATGTAGATGTGTAAGACCTGGTGGTATTTTCATTTCCTTATGATACTGACATTAAGCTTATAGTATTTACAATCATCCGCTATATAGAAACAGCATTTATATTGCTGCCTGGGTTCAAAATTCAGATACACACTTAGGCTCAGCTCACAAGACAGACAACAGCCAGATAGTAGCAACTTTGCTGCTACTGATCTGACCTGCATTTGAACTACTGATCCAGGGATGAAAGACCAAGTATCCTATCTGCAATCATCTGCTGCAATCTAAGGACTTCACACACTTAGGAGCACCAGCCTTTTGTGGGCAATGGGTAGGGAAGGAAAGTTCCTTTTTACCTTCTCAGGCTTCATGCCATTCATGTTACCAGAAAAGCAGAAAATGATGTCCTGTCAGCATGGCATTCTGGATGTCTGACACACCAATAAGGCAGTATCACACTTCTTATTTTAAACAAAGATACATACAGCTTTGTGACAGTTCCAGGAAAAAATATAAAAAACAAAACCAAAACAAAACCAAACACAAAAACAAAACACGAGGATTTAGCTGGCAATTTCACTTTTGAAGGTGATCATGTAAAGCTGGTCCACTCCACTTGGCACACCTACTCCCTCTGAATAAGAATTAAAAAGACTGCAAGTGGTTTTTGGCAATTATCACTCTGAAGGCAGTTTCTCAGGGTTCAGATCCAGCACATAAGAGTGGAAAGGACTTCTAAGGTCACTGACTGAAATCCCTCGATACAGCAGATGACCATGTAAACCAATCTCTTTTGTTGACTACATGCCCCTTAACAATGTCCAGTTGAAAACCCCCAAATCACTACTCGTATTTTTAAATCTTGGCTTGTATGTGCCGAGAGACATAGTTGTTAAGTTCAGTGACAAGTTCTACCTGCATTATATTTTCTGTGCCTGTGCAAGGGTGAACACTGCTAAGAAAGCATGAACATAGATATAATAAAAACAGACATGGTGCCTTCTCAGAGCCCCAGTTAAACACTGTGGTCACTAAAACAAAGTGTCCATAGGTCGTAAGTGTTGTGTTGGGAGGCCAGGATGACAGGCAAAGCAAAATAACAGACACGTTAAAACAGAGGCTCGACTGATATAGTTATTTTGGGCAAGCAGTCAGTAGAGTAAATTTACGCCAGCTCATAGGCATCACTTTAGTGACGGTGAGAAACGCATTGCTGCTGAGCTGACTGAAAACAGCAGCTGGAAGCGGAAGACAGAGCACTGTAAACCAACCCACTGGAGGGGAAGAAAAGGAGTGAACGTGCCCAGATCAGATTTAGACAAGTTACCAACTAATTGCACTAATAATAGTGGCATAAGGAGACTCCAGGCATGACCCCCAAACAGGATTTCCTGTGCATATGGATGTGTCTGTGTGGATACGAAAGGGAATACAAACATGCAAATTGAACGAAGATGTTGACTCGTGAGCCTACGACTATTTTTGAAAGCCTATAAAGCCATCTTAGGAATGTGGGCTTGATCCTGCTCTCACTGAAGGCAACAGACAAATTTGTATTGACTTGGAATTGGAAGACTGAGTTTTTAAATCAAATCATTTCTTCCTGAAGCCTATAAATAATAGTGAATTGCAGCAGCAGCACCTTGCAGACTTGGTCTTCAGGCACATCTGAAACTGACCTCATCAGATGAACTATAAAAAAAGACGAAATTAAAAAAAATTCACTTTACCATCATACTGTTCTCCTTTGCAGCAAAAGGAAAGGCAAAACTTTCTGCTAGGATCATTCAAAACATTCACTACTTGTAAAATAGCATTCAAATTGCTTACTACATCTCCAAAGCATTAGTATGCTGTTCTTATTGCTAGCTACAGGCCTCACTACTTGGATTTCTGGCAGTCATTTGTTAAACAGGAAAAACTAAACCACCAAAATTACAATTTTCAACTATTTTGCTTGCAGCATTAGCCTTTGTTTACAGTTCTGTCTAAACCAGCAAACTATTAAGATGATTAACACGAGATATCTGCTCACCATTCTACACTCAACTCAAGCTCCAATGGCAAAGCCAGAAAGCAACAGGTTCACTCATGGTCTAATCAGTTTCACTACTACTGCAGTATGCACAACTTTACTGGGCTAAAATTTAAAAATACTGTCAGGAAACATTCAAATTGTCTCAACCACAGCTATCCATTCATAGATATATACTCTATATGTACTTACTTACATAAATACAAACTTAAACCACTCATATCAAGTCCTCTTCAGAAACTTATCAAACAAAGACTTTCTTACTGAAAACAGGGTTCTGCTACAGGCTGCTATGGCATCTAGGAGACCTAAGTGAAGCTGTGTTCAAATCCAGTATGGCCACTCTTTGGAATGGTCTTTACACTTGGAAACTGTAGCCATAAGTGCATTCACTGCTGTAGGCAGGCAGGCGCCACCCAGGAAAAGCTCAGCAAGTTTACACGTTCTCCCAGACTCTTTAAGTGGAAGTTTTCTCTTACTTTCCAAGGCCTTCTCTGAGACCAGCTGACTGTCATGGATACTGCTCCTCACGGACACTCTTCTCACCAGCTATTACTATCCTCACAGATCTGCTGACAGAGCTGTTCATTTGAGTACTTCAAAATGCTTTTAATTGATGGTTTAAGTTAGCTCTGACTTTGCTCAAAGCAGAGCTCACACTGCACTGGCAGATACTGTTATGGTAACTGATCTGGAAGAGGATATCTGTCTACAGACAAGTTTTATGACAGCCACTCTGCAGGTCTGTTTAGCCTGGAGTCCAGGCTCTGGCATAGACCAAGAGATGCCCAGGAACAGGGTATCAGAAAAAGACAAAAATGTGGTGATTCCTCCCTCACTGTATACCCTCCTAGCTTCCAGACATCCACCTGGTGGGTTTTTTGTTTGCTGGGGATGGCGGATATATGTGAATGTGTTTGCCTGGTTTTGGATAAAGAGAGACATGGGAAGATACTGCATGCAGATGTGGCTTCTCTGTTCAAAAGAGAGGTTCTCTTCTTGTTTATAAAGCAAAATAATAGAGAACAAAATATAAAATGTTGCTCTATTCCTGATGTTCCACTTGTCCCTTTCACTGCTGCTGACAACTGAGCTGGCACTTTCAGAGATCCATTCATACCATCTCTCCCTCAGAACTACCTTTCTGAACAGTCATAGCTAATTTAGACCATATCACTATGCATGCAGTTAAAGTACTTCTCTTGTCTTTGCATTTTTCAACATTTACTTCATCTATTGTTTAGTTACCCAGTAACACATTAAAAATCACTTTTAGATTTAATCTCTTAGAGAATTTCAAATCAACCAGTGAACTCCTCATTTTTCAATCACTTTCCAGACCATTTATGATCGCATTAGTTCTTCATAATTAGAACATTATGAAAGACTCTGATGAGAACTGCTGGGACTAACAGATCCAGGCGGACTCTGCTGGTAACTCTACTGTAAGAACTGGGACTCCAATCCCTTCAATACAAAGGTCTTCCCTCTTATTCCACTACCCGTTTCGACCAGGATCTTGTAAGGAAGATCACAGTATATCCTGTTAATTGATTGCTCTTATTCACATAGTCACTGTGCACATAGGGGGACTACTACACACAGTCCCAGAGTATTCTGGCAGAACCACTGCTTCACTTTGGAAAATCCGTAACAGTTCTTTTCTGTTCTTTCATATGATTCAGCCACTGGATGATTCAGCCACTGTAATGATTCTGCCACTGGACAGCAGCAGTTCTAGAAAGTAATCAGTGAGCATCCGAAAGATGTTTTCCTAATACTAAGGAGATTGAAAAGGGTTTAGTATCTTTAATAGCTTTACATCAAACAGGATTATAAGAAGCAACATAACAAATGCTCAAACTGGATTGGCTTTGTACACAACGCTTAAATCCCTGGGTCTTCAGGGATTTATTCAAAGACACCTAGAAACACAGCGTCAGAGTCACCCATTGATTACTGTCTCTTCTTGTCTGACAGGGTAAGCCCTAAATGGCAGGCTACATATACGGGCTGATAGAGGTTTGCATCAAACTGGCCACTACCATAGGTGCCCAAGGTCACAATGAAAGACAGAATTAAAACGACCTGTTAAGATGAGAAGGCTAGCAGCTCTGAACCAATAAGGAAGATATTGGATTAAGAGATAAGATGCTAAATTTTGCTAATCATCTCTGCTGCCGTCACATGAAAAACCATTCAATCATCTGACCTTTCTGTGCTTTCGTTTCTTCAGCTATGAACAAGGACAGGAATCATTCTTTGTTCTTTACTTTAAACATGGCCAAAAAATAATAAAATGTGCTGAGCCAAAGAAGTGGATACAAAGCATCTGAATGCATGGAAGTACTATCTCAAGGATCAGAGCAGCGAGTTGATACCATTTTACTTGCAGTGAGCAGGGGTTGCAGGGGACTGCAGTAGAACAACAGATCAGATGAGAAACATTTTCAAAAGTGCGTTAGATTCCAGAAGTGCTGGATTAAATGGTGATAGTTCTACATGCTAAATCCACCCCAGTGAAACTGCACCTGGGACCAAGACACTTTTCCTACTAAGTAGATCTGGTGCAGCAGTTCCAAAATCCTCATGTGCAAGGATGGAATTTGAGGATTCCAACATGGCACATCAGAGACACTACGCACATACACTGTGTACTGGCATACCACACTGATAGGAGCCTCAAAATATATGTAGGAGACCAGTAAGAATAAAATTTGACCATGCTTTTGTACTTCTTGTTTACATGCACATTGCAAACACTGTACAACCATTGCAGCCAGCTTTGTTTCTGAACCAATTATTTTATAAGCATCCAGTGACAAATATTATTTTCAATGTAAACTGACAGTAAATGGTGTTTAGACCAACGTCTGCGACTCAACAGTCTCTTCCTACAAAAGAAGTCTAATTTCTTTATGACTCATTTTAAGACTTTTTTTCCTCTAAGTCCTCCTTGTAAAACTTAGTCCAGACATTGACAACAACAATTTAATCGATCACAATCTGCAAATGCCTCTTAGGGACACATCCCACAGATCAAAGCAATTCCAAAGGGAGGCCATGCTATTGTTTCCTTTTTGCCACAAGAGCTGGCAATTGTAAAAAAAAAAAACAAAAAAACAAAAAACATTTAACCTCTTCATTACCAGAGGAAAAAATCACTATTTGCTATTAATACAGAGAGCGTAAGTAACAGATGAATCAGAAATAACACAAGTAGTAGTAGGAGGGAACACATAGGCTTTGCATCATGTTCACCTCATCCATATTTATGAGGCCCTCAAGTTTTCTAGGTATTCTTGACTCAACAGATACTGGATGAAATGGACATGGTAAAAAAACTGCTTTCCATGAAACAAGGGCACATAGCTGCAGACATAACAGAATAAGAATTGGTAAGAGATGCTCATGATACGTGTACTGCTGCCATCATTACAGGAGAGACCACAGCATCACTTAATAACATTTACCTGTGTAACAACTTCAAAATCATAACAACACTTCCTATGACCAGATGTTGAACAGAACAGTGCCATACTGTGGCCCTATTATATCTAGACATTAAGTATAGATAAACCTTTATTAAAAGGGTGCTTTGTGGAAATCACCAAGAGAGAGAAGGGATAGAACTAGTCAAATATGCCTATCAAACCCCAGGCTGTTTGAGAACAGTTCAGGGCATACTTTAAATTGCTTCATGTTTCATTGTTACATACACATATCTCTCAATATGCACCAAAATTGCTAGAAATTACTTATTTGTCTGGAGCAACTTTAAAAACTAGAATTAAAAGTTAAAAAAAAAAAAAAAACAACCTAGCAGAAAAGGAAAACCCACAAGGAACCCCAAAGCAAGACACAATGGTGGACAGAACTCAAGTACACATGCAGACAGGGTCAGAAAAGGACTGTGTGAAAGCAGCTGTTCACAATACCTAAAAATAGCTTAGCATTCCTCCTTTTTGGTAAAGCTCCGCCAGATGCCCCTGGTACCTTCTGGAAAGAGAGAAAGAAACAATTAAAATCCATCAATCAAGACGACAGTAAATCAGCAATAACCCCATACCATTTCTGACACACATCTCTCTGTTCATGTTCCTTCTATTAAATCACAATCTTTGCTGAGCAAGAATATAAATCCTCTTCATTCACCTCTGACAATGGGACTCAACTCATCATTGCTTGCTACCGTCGTGGAGTGAGAAAGCCACCGTCTGATTCCTTCATACTTGTCTCTGTTAGCAATTAAGCAGAGCATATCTCCTAGTCACTGTGGGTGACCACTGTTCTGTCAACCAGAGAGTGACATGTAGACCTCCCCCCAATAAGCCCCCTACAATATTTCTTAATGACTAACGCTGAATTAGAGAGGGGAAGAAAAGGCTATTATCTGCATAGAAGATTCAAACCTTCATAACTAATTCCAGTATGACCACTTTGCTGTGATCTATTAGTTGAGCTAATTTTCCTGTATCCAGAAAAAAAAAAATGCCTTTTCTGTCAGGATCCATGCCTGTTTCCATTAAGTTATCACCGTGCTTCCTCAATATTAGAAAGTATGGAGAAAGCCTGGCAACACCTAAGCAATTGGTTAGGGGGAATTTTATTTTTTGATTTGAGCTCCACAGAGAACAGTAACTTCCAAGTGACATTCAGTTTCAAGCCCTATTTTCCGAGGTCAAAATACCTCAAACTACTATGGAAAATGCTAGTACCTGGGGAAATGTAAAAGTCAATGCGCTTGCTTCTTAAGCTGTTTATTAACAGGCACCATTAAATCAAATAGGCCTCTGTGGCTAGAATGCCAACATGATGCATTATGTCGTGTATAATGTTAGTGTAGCTGGCGAGGTTGTTAGGCAACTTTTTTTTTTTTTTAAGTGATAATATTGGGATACAACAGGTGGAGAGAAACCAGCCAAGAACCTGTCAGCCTAGGGAAAGTTCATGTTTGCCTCTGCTCCTTCGCAGGTGAAAGGGTCACATATTCTGGGTGGTTTCCTTCACCATGTAAATAAAGCTTTGGCCAAAGCAGACTGCTTGAATCATCAGTGAGGTTTTACACATCATAGGAAAGTTTTCCATTCTTAGAAGGAGCAGATGCCAACTAACACTCTTTGGCTGGACTTAAGAACAGAAGCTATTATCCATATATAAGAGCCCTAGGGAAAAGGAGTCAGGGTTGCAACTCCAGCATTTAAAAAAATAGTAATAAAAAAAAAACCACAACAAAAACAAAACCAAAAAAAATTAACCAAAAAACAAACCTCAATGAGGTGAAAGTAACAAGCTGAACATTTTTCCCTTTATACTACTGGAATTTAACAAGTGGAAAGGAAGCAGCCAAGAATCCAAATCTATTTTTAAAAAAGCAGCAGCAAGATACAACATAACCCAATTACAAATATATTATGACTAAATTACACATACTCAAAGGATTATAGCTTCAGAACTAAAGAAATGTTCTTTCCAATACTAGGAAGCTCCAATTGAACTCTGATGTCACCAAGTGCGGTATTGTGAAAGTCATTAAGACTAGAGATTTCAAAGAGGGAGAATTCACATGGAGTATTTATCACTGCCAGCCTGACATGAAATATTTCAGCTTGATTTTCCAAACTGCTGAAATTGCAGATTATGCTCAACACTCTTGAAAAACCCAGAAGCTGACAGTTTTTCTACTTTGTTTCTCCACCTGTCAGAAATCACCGAAAACGCTCCCCATTCTCAAAACAATTTTGGCTTCTAACAGATGTGACACACCCAGCAAATGCGAGTCCACACAATGCATCAGTAGTGGCATTAAATTCTGTTTGTGAAGCTTCTCATACAAGGTGTCAGTGTAGCGTTTTCTGTGTTCTCTTTAACTGCACCATTGCCACATTTTTTAATAGCAGCGCCATCACTGAGTAATATCCAGGAATCCATCACTGTAGGAAATTTTATGCTTATCTGCCCAGTGTTTTCAACACAGCTGAGGTATCACTATAGCACCAAGCTAAAGCTTTGCCCAGGTCTGAACACTACCCAGGCAGAATTTGAAAATTCTGAAAGTGAAATTCTGGGAAAAATTTAAAAAGAAAAAAAAAAAAAAAAAATCAAAAAATCCATTTTCTTGATTTAGCTAAGAACTTTACCAGAGGGTGCTCCATAACTTGCACTTGTGTACATTTCAGATGAATCAGCAGATGCCTCTGGTGCTCATCTGCCACTGGCAGATACTCTAGCTCTACTTAAGGCAATAGGCTGAAGATCTGACCCTTATTTTCTAATTGAATAGTGACAAGATACATGGCCGATACTTATTCCAAACACCTTCGGAAGCAAAAAGGGATTTCTGCAGCAGTGCAGAGCATTCTGCAAGGATGATGCCAAGGGAACCACAGGCAAGAATAGCAGCCTCACTAAAAGAATCTTAAGATAGCACATCCAGTGCCTTTGGATTTACTGTATCCCATACCATCAAAAGCTTGGCTTAAAACAAGACCACAATGCAACATGTGCCAGAGGCTTCATAAAACTGTTCCAGTGAAGGCCTGACGTTTCACATTGCTCAAAGGAAAACATGGAGAGCACGTAAGAAGCGAACAGTTACGGTAAACAAAATCCACAGCTAACGTATAAGGAATTCTGTCTATGCACCATGTTAGATGACACAACCTTCACCTGTACTGTATAGGCAAACACCATTTGCTACCACATGACCCAGAGCACCAGTGCATCACCACCTTCAAACATAGATGCCAGGACGCCCTGCTACGTCATGACTCACAAGGAGAAAAAATAGGAACTACTGAGTTCAACTGAAGGGGTATGCAACACCAAAAAACAGTTGGTATGCTCGTTTCTCCCTTTTAGAGTTCCTCAGCCTAATGTTTATCAAGAAAAGGAATCTAAGGCCTCATTTTAACCCCAGTTTACCTTAATATTGAAAATTCCTAGGTCACATGGTGGAATAAATTTATATACAAGGAAATCTGTCAGGATTTCTGCCCACCTGTCTCTAATCCTAGATATCATCTTTCAGGAGTGTTAAATTCACTCAGATGAACTGTTGCTAAAACTAGACTAGGCTCTCCAAAAACTCAGTTAACAGTGTGAAGGAAATGTTGCTATCACCCTTACAAGGAAAGATAATTCTAGAGTATAACAAACATCATTAACAATCTCAGCCTGGGAGACATGTAATCCACCTTCCTATAATTCTAATAAAATATGAAGAGTCATCTACTGGAAATAAATAAGTGGTCAGGGCACTCAGGGCCTTCATCACCCAGGAGAAACACTGCTGTAGAATGAGAAACATGAAATACTCTATCCTGCTCCAAGCAGCTATTTTAGGCCTTCTAACTTGTCAAGAGACAGAGCGAGCTATAAGCAAACCCAGTGTCTTCCATATAACTCAGGTCAGAAGTCATAAACAGCTCCTTAAAGATGCCAGACAAACCACATACAAACAGATGTTGTGAAGCACATGTTGTAAGTTACTATTGATATGCTGTGATATTATGGTAGAACAGTGAACATGAAGTTTTTATGTATACATCCATGTGTGTGGGGGTGTCAGACTGAATGAGGGCAGCGGGTGGCTCTAGAATCCAGCATTAATTTAAGCTAGGCTTTAGATCCCAGGCCAGGTCAGGATTAAGGCTCATGATTTAACTGTACAGAAATCTGAGGATGAAAAGAAGTCCTGTCATCCTGAGATGAAAACTCATATAAGAAAATCTCAGAAGCTTCCAGTCAAATCTGAGCCAAAGTTAGTAATTCTACACTTCAAAGGCAGGTTTCAGAAGAGTATTTAGTTACCTACAGTATGCACGTAACATGCAGACAAAACTTATGAGATACGCAGAAGCGTGCAGTGAAAAAGATCAGTGGAAGTCAGGCAACAAGCTGCCTTTAAGATCTGACTCTTTAGGGCTTTGGACTCATCTCAGAACTGAAGCTATAGGATTGGTTGGGATCCAAGCACCTGAATTTGATATCCAGCCCCAAATCTGAACATGTTCATTTGTGTCATTCAGGTTTTGGTCAGTGGCTGAAATGCGTTACCTAAATGAGCACAAGAGTCCCAAGAACTGCCAGGGTAGTTAGCTGGGAAGCCAGAAGTCTCACCTCTATCACACGTTGTTTCAGATGTAAATATACACACTGTCCTGTTTTCCGGTAATGCCTTTCAATGTGTTCCCTTCCAAATCCCAGAAACGTGTTCATGCACACATAGAGACCTCCTTCTGAATCCTAAAAGGAATGACACAGATAGTTACAGCACAGAAGGAACTGAACAGAACAGAACGGACTCAGTAAGCAGAAAAAACAAAGAATTGCAGACCCTTTCTATTATCCGGCAAGCACTTAAAACATGGCTTTCGTAGCACATTATAGTGTTTACATTATCAGTCCTCTAAAAATTCCACATTATATTACAGCCTATAGAAACTCATTGAAATAGGTTAATTTGCAACTATAGATTAGTGAATATCCAAATTGGAAGTCTAAAAGCTAGTCTTAAAAATTCTGCTTGAGTGCCCAGTCCACAGATATTTGTAGGTGCTGAAATCTGTAAAGCACAGAAATAATGAAGCACAGACATTTGTTTGAAATAGCAGAACTTTTTTTTGCCATTTCATTGCAAGAACAACATTCCAAATCAGAAGCGTGCCAGAGCTGGTGGCCCAGGGATTCAGCCACAACTTCTACTATTGATCACTATCTTGCCTGAGAAAGATCTCAAGTGCTCTTACAGCTCTTGGAACTGGTTAAGAAGAAAACTGGCAAGCGTTTTCTTAACGTTCTTCAGTATCCATCAGGAATTCTCTCTATTCATGCAATTAGAGTGCTTGGAGACAATGGCACTACAAAGGAAATATGAAGATGCATATTCCTGGTACTCAAACTCAGCCTGATCACAAACACTGACATTCCATAACTTGGCAGTAGTCCCATCACATTTTGCCATTCCAAAAACTAGGTGCTGATGCTGGCTGTTATCAGGGTCTTGTTCCATTTTAAGACTGCTTCCAGATATCTCCTACATCATTCAGACTGCCTGGAGGACTTTCAGTCATCTGGTTTATTGGTGTTGGATCAATTTTTTAAGCCCTCTCTAGCATGTATTGTTTTGAATAGGTGGTGCATAACAAAAATTGGGCCTTTCAGAAGCACTGTGACCTTCCTTCTATTGTAAACATGTTTGTGCTATTGGATAGTACAGAACATCTCATTAAATTCCCCAAAGAACAACATGAACTAAACTCATCCACAGGCACCTTAGAAGGAAATTAAAAAATTAAATAATAATAAAAAAAAAATCATTATCTGCAGAAACAAATCACTTCAGGCACATACCTGTGCCTAATCATGTATTGAGAATCATTACAGTAACAACTGCTTTGACAGGACACCACCTGATAGTGATACACCTGAAACATATTTAGTACAGTAAATCAAGAAGTTCTCTCCTGCCTGACTGACCCCTCTTCCAGGTTCTGCCAGGCAGGAGCCTCTGCTCCACCTGAGCCCAGCCAGGCCCCCTCCCAGAGGAAGCACAAAGCTACCCGTCCTGCTGTGCCAGCCACAGCATGAGTTCAGCTCTCTCCAGTCCTGGGGACAAGTAGCAGAGGGCAAGTCTGACACCCATCACAGCTGATCTCCAATACTTTCCTAACCAGCACCAGGTTAATACACCTTATTCTCTTCCAGAAAAAGGAAGCTGAAGGGCTAATAGTGTCGAGCAGTTGTTGCTCATTTGATACCTGGCACAGACCAGCTAGGGCCTGGCACATCTCTCCCCTCCCACCTGTGCCCCAAAACCAGGCTTCAGTGTGCCACTCTTAACCCAGTTAATTCTCCCCAACCTGTTTCAAAGACTGGTACTGAGTATTACTGTAGGACTTGAAGGAATCTAAACTTACAGCTTACCTACAACCCTCATCCACACCTGTATGCTACTCTTTCTTTGTATTAATACAACTAAAGCCAGAACTGAAGAACTGTCTCAGACACCAATAAATACTGGTACACCCGCAGTGGCCAGCAGAGCCATGGAGCGGAGGAACAGAACATGCAGAGACCGGAGAATGATGTTTTACGCCATGACTTTAGAAAATATCCAATTTTTCCATTTTTCTTAATGTGATTCAATACATATAAGCTTCAGCTTTTCAGATTTAACTGCAAGATGAACATGTAATGAGCTATACAGCTGTTGCTTTACCTACCTCTAAAGGACAAGAAATTGCCTTGAGCATTCCAGGATTCAAAGATGCAATATGAAGCAAGGGTTTAGACTATCTGCCATTCACACTTAACATATACCATGAAGTCATTCTTTCTGTGTCTAGATACCACAATTATTATCTCTGCAGAGTAAACAGTAAACTATTAAGTCATCTCATTTCTGATCCACACAACCCCTATCCAAGATTCTATTTAAAAAAAAAAAAAAAAAAAAAAGACAGAACAAGACCAAAACCACAGCTCCTTTGAATTTGAAATAGTCACGGCCTTGAGAACAGGGCTGATATCTACAACTGTGCTCAAAAGTAATAAAGTAGTTAAAAATAAAACTCCAAAGCTGGTATTCACACTACTAATAAAATACCATTGTATTCAAAATGTATTACCTTCATTTTAATTTCCACTACTCTTTCACAGATTTATCTACTTTAAGTCCCATTATACCTTTGCTGTCTGCTCTTACATTCTCTATTTCAAATCCTTTTGCATTACCAACTTCTGTGACAAAGTCATGGATGTGTCCTCTACAAGAGGATCCTACAGGTACCCAGCCTAAATAAAAATACACAGTGTTGTCACTCTAGGGTCTCAGGAACTTTGTTTACAATTTTGCTTTCTTGGAGACCATTCTCTCTTTTTCTGGAGGGAATTCAAGGGACCACTGAACCATTTCTGATAAGCAACCTATGACAACAATCTGACACTTTCAGTGTATGAGCTAAATGTAGAATCTGAGTAAATTGGTTGTGGTTACTAACAAAATAGTTACTTCTCCTGGAGAACGGAGGCAGGCTATTCTCTCATGCAACTTTGAAAAAAAATAGACAAACTGTTCAACAGCCTAAAAGGTCACAACAAAACATGGGCATGTGTAAAGAAGCCACCTTTGCAGAAGGCTGCATAAAGGATTAGGTCCCTGTTTGGTGCTCAAAGAACACTTGACTGTGATCCACAAGACAGGCTTTGTGCTGGTGAATTTAACACTACTGAGCACACAACCACTTCTGGAAGGAACAGTATTTTATATAGGCTGTGACATGTAAGTCTTTGCAATCAACATTCAGTTTAGATATGTGTAGAAGTTGATGCTGGAGGAAGGCAGCATATCTAAAGTACTGAAGACACTATTTTATACCAGAAAAATATAACTTGTCGTAAGAGACAAAACCAGGAATTTTAGCTAGGTTTTTTTCCCCCCTCACTTTTGCCTCAGCACGTAGTGGGCATGTAGTGTGAAATTTAGGATAAAGCGATGTATAAACATTGCTTTCTCTTATTACTCCAATCTAAAGACACTGTGGGGGCAGAAGCTTGTACTTGCTCAGGCCTTGATCACTACCCAGAAGGCCACTCAGGAGCAGACCAGTCTTCTTACTCTCTAAACAGAATGAAAAGTGATTGCTCTTCACCGTATTTCTTCCTGTTCTTTGCTTCTAAGTTGATCACAGTATTCCAGGTGTTTTACTGAGAGGGAGACCCACAGTCCACAGCAGGGAGAAAAGTATTAAAAAAAAAAAAAAAAAAAAAGGAAAGAAAGCTCGTTTTATGTATTTAGGTAATAATTAATCTTTTGCAGAAGTAGGATGAGGAAGGAAAGGGAGAGGGAATCCACACCGAAAGAGAGCTAAAAATGCAACAGTTACTCCCTCTCAAGCCTGAAAAACAGAGCAAGGGAGGTGGCGGATGAGAGGTCTGACAAACACTAATGCCAGTCTATAAGGAAAGAGAAAGAGATCATCACCTCACTTCACACATGCTCATGGCACCAAACACTAATAGCTTTCAAACACTACTAACCTGATCAGGATTTGAACTAATGACCTGTATACCATTACCAACACCACCCTCCCCCCACCTCCCCCCCTCCATTTAGACCCCTCAGGGAAATCTAGGGTTTAGTAATTTCAACTTCTGAGGTGGCTCAGACAATAATGAATTTATAAAAACACAATTGCTGCAGTGATCTACTAACATGGCAAACAGTTACAGACTTGAGCACAATGTCTACCATGCTCTGGGCTAAATGCCAACTACTAGGGATGGCACTGGATACTTCCCTACAAACAGATTATTTCACAATTGCTTAATAAAGATGTCTGGTGTCTCTGTTGTAGCTTCCAGATGGGCACATGGACAAAACCTATCCAGTACAAAATTTACATTTCCAGGGAAGAAAAAAGCCACGTGGGCCAGTCACTAAAATGAAACTAAACCACCATTCCAAGAGGCGAATTGACTGCTCACTCACATGCATAAGTCTTAGGCAAACTCCAGAGCTGGGCATATGTAATTCTGAAGCAGTATTTTGTACAAGTCACATTCACGGGCAGGATCAAGGCTTCACAGTAAGTGAGCAGATACAATGGCAAAACTAACATTAGGTCACGAGCACTTCTAATCTGCAGCCAGGACTACAGAACTTCCATCCATCAATCAACACTGTTTGGGGTCAGATCATCCAGGTGGGCCACAGAGAAATGTCTCAGATCCATCATGGTTTACTTCCTAGCTCAGGCCCAGTACCATACCTCAAGCAGTGCCACCTCTACTGCTTCCACAGCAGCTTAGATTTAGAGAGCGCCTGATGACTTTTGCTTTGTGCAGAGCCCTAGCTGTACCGTTGATCACAAAGACAGCGCTATGTTTCCACAACGGAAAATCTGGGGTAAAGAGTTGAGAGGTAACCTAATGGTTCCACAGCGATTCAGCAGAGTTCCAGGGTTGTCCATTTGCCTGCATCTCTGCATTTATCCTCTAGCACTCCAGGTACCTCACAATCAAAGTCTCTCTGCTACGCTATACCCAAAATATTCCAGCCCATCATCACTCTGGACAACAGGATACCTGAAGTTTGGTCAGTCACTGACACAGAGGGAAAAGCTAGTAAGATTCAAATTTAGATCAAACCCACAGAAATGCACATACACACTGGTGGCTCTCCAGAGCTGCAGTTATTTTTCATTTGTGAGCCACTGCAGGCACAACCCTTACTGATTTTACCATTCTCCAACTTCGGAAGACCATTTAGTTAACCTTAGTGATGCAGCAGTACAACACTGCTCTGATTTTTCAGGTGATCACCCACCAACAAGCAATTCACTGCCTCAACAGCTTGGAAGTCATGTTGCAGTTAAGCCAAAATCCTTGTCTGGAGTATTTGATTTGTCTTTATGAATTAAGTCTTCTTACTTGTTTCCTCAGTGCTGCTCCTGTCCCATCAACAGAAACAAAATACCAGCCTACCCCTTCCAGACAGTGGCCCCAGTGACTTGCTAATTTTCTTCAAGGAATACTGAACAAAGAAACAGACAGATAGAAAGTGCTTATTTCTAGGAAGTTTTACACAGCATAGTCACTCATATCCATTACACACTCCAAACTCTCAAGGATTTCAGTCTCCGCTATAGTGGGTAATGAACAGCAGAGCATCAGCACAGTTTAGCCTTTGGGAATTGTCCTAACATAACCATTACAGAGTCCCCGAGCCACAGAAATGAAGTCAGCAAGATTCACAAAGGAAGCTGTTGTCAGCAGCAAGGTTTTCCACCAGAGTGAAGCCAAGCTTTAAGCTGCTCAAACAAACACAGTCCTGCAATCTACAGAACCAGACTGCTTGGTCCTGTTGCGGTATCAGACTTGTGACCTGTGCTGTGGTTTTAACCAATGTCCTTCGTGGCGAAAGTTTTAGAGCACATCCATCTACAACACGCATAGCCTACATGTAAGGCTTTCTCATACTCCATTTTGTATCCCTTTTCTAGCAGTTGCCTCTCCCTCAGATGCATCTGGTCTAAAATGATCAGAGGTCTTTGAGACAAGGATCTCATTAAAAGGTGGAATTTCCACCCAAGTACTATACCTCTGTGGAAGTAATAAGACAACAAAAGATTATATAATGCCATCTTTTTGCCTCCTTCATTCTACGGAACACAAACTCAGGCTCATCCACCAAAAGAGGAAGAAGCACCATAGTAGACAAAATAGGAGAGAAGACAGCTACACCACAGCAGCACAAATACAGAAAAACAATCACCATGAGGGATGACTATGCATCAGATCTGAAAAATGAGAGGTGCAGAACTTCACCAGTCAAATAGCAGGAAAACAGTAGGCTACAGTAGCTGCTGGGCCAGTCGCTAGCAGGACTGATACTCAACACTAGCCATGACTGTGTTTTGTGGACAGCCTTCCTTCTCTCCTCAATTGCTGTAGAAAGAATCAATGGCTAACTGGAGCAGGAGCCCTTATCAGAAAAATGCAGTTTTTCTAGAAGCCACCAAAAAAAAACCCCAGACAAATAATTAAGAATTGTCGTATAAAGGCATTTTTTTCTAATCTTATGAAACAAGCAAACTTAAAAAGTGTCACTAGAGGACTTAAGTGCACAGAAATTTGCCTTCTGTTTCTGCCCACTTTTCTGGAAATCAACCCTAGTACGTTCTGTTTGAAACTGGTTTCTCATCTGTTTAGCAGTCTTTCTAACAATACTACCATCATGACAAGACCATCGTGGTTATGGTTAATCCACATGGAAGAAATACACTGAATATCCACTTGTACCTCTCCTAGCTCACACTTCTGAAATCTCTCAACTAACGACTCTTTGTGACACTGAAGCATGGTTGTTCCCAGATCTCCACCCAAGGAAGTAAGATTTAAAACACATGGAAAGGGAATGTCAACCAATTTTAAGAACAACCAGTGGAACTGCCTGTATCCACTGGAACATAGATATTCAGTGACACTACACCACTCAAATCCAGACAAGAGGACACAACTGACAGAGTGACAATCAGGTCTGCAAAAGCAGGGTGTCTCAGCCACGTTAAGCTTTGCACAATGAGAAGTAAAAGAAGAAGCCACTCACTCCCAGTACTTCATTTTCTTTGGCACCTCCTGATGCAAACAGCTCTGGCTTTGATCATCCCACCCTTCTTGGTCCTTTTCAAAATAGCTGCAGAATCTTTCTCTACAATACTTTGTACCCTAATATTCACAGGTCTGATGGGTTTCAGTGTATTTTAAAGATCACACCACTTCCTTACAGGGCAAGTGATATACAATTAATATAGCTAAAGACACTTGAGTATAGAGCTGCTGTGTGACTGGGTATGCCACTTTAAAAGATACAAACACTCAGGAAATTCACTTATTTGGAGAAGAAAAAATAGAAGGTAAAGCCTGAGAGACAGTCTTAAGGTCTTAATGAAAGAAACTACTGAAATAAGATCTGATATTGAAGAAAAGTGACAGAACAAAACATTCTGTGTCGACTTTTTAACACTGATCATTTGCTTTAATATTATAACAAAAACAAAGGTTATCTTATTTCAAGAACAGGCAGACACCTCAATAGGAAGAGGTTTGCTTAGGTTATATGAAGCTCACCTAAAAAAAATAAGTCACTAAACCAACCTAATACAAAGCATACAGAAACAAACACCTCCCTTTAGCCAAGGCAACAACTTGTCTGTATCCTTTCACTTCCCGTCTGAACAAAATACTGCAAAAAGACAGCTTTACTATTTTCAATTTGTAAATGACAGTGTTTTACCCAAGAAAGCACACATTTGCCCTTTAGAATAGTCATCCTAGAAACAATAGCCAAATATATTAGATTATACGGGAATAAAAAATAAAATCCGAGACAAGCCCTTTGCTCGATTAAGATGCGGAACGGGAATGGGCTGAAAAGCCATGGAAAACAACAGAAACTGAGACTAGTTTTATTTTTACAGGTACTGCACAGGTTCAGCCAAGTCTTTTGCCCAGTGAATGACTATAATGCAATTTAAACAAAAAGTTTTAACAACGGTGGACTACATCTTCCAAAATCTGAACTCTTCTCTCAAGAGTTAAAAGGATTAAATATTAAAAAAAAAAAGAGCAAACAAACAAAAAAAACCCAACACACACAATGATTCCAACTCCTCTTCTTACTTTTACACATAGTTTCTGTTAAGTTTTGCTCAAATGTTTTCTGTTTTGTTCAAACACATTGTTTTGCTAAACACAGCTTTTGCTGTGTTTACCTGAGGCTTGTTGGGGGTGGTGGTGATTGGTTGTTTTTTTAATTAGTAGCAGTACTTAATATGCCTTCCTACTTGTTAACAGAAACTTTTCATAAACCATGTTGAAGAAGCCCAGAAGTATTACTAAAAGCTTCAGCCATGTATTCACCAGAGCAGAAGCTTGAAGGAAAGACTGTGGTACGTTTGTTTTCCCCAAAAAAGCCTTATTAAGTGTATAATGCAATTAGCACCTCTGCAGTAGAGTCTGATTTGGCAGTTTTAATCAGACCGCCTCCCAGTACAGTCAGGGCTGCTGGGTGACACTTGAGATCTGAAAAGTGTGGGTAAAAATAACCCTTGTTCAACAAGACATGATGAACACCAGACAGCTGAGTCACCTTTAAAACTGATTTTGATTTTCTGTATCAGAAGGAATTGTCAAAGAAAGGGGGATAAAGGATTAAAAAATATGTCTGAAATGTATCTTTCATTAAATATTCTGTAATGTAAACCCAGAGCTTCCTTTTGATTGCTGCCATTGACTTTAACATCAATATATAGTGCTCAACTACTTCTGGGAAACCTCTGCTTCATGTAGAGGAGCAACTTCAAATAAAATTTCAGATCCATTTAAAAAGTATAATTACTATGCATCTGTTTCTTACAAACCATTGACTATTACTATTTATGAAGGCTTCCAGTATTATCAACAAAGTTAAAAATTAGTCAGGCCCCAAATCTGCCACTGAACACATGCAATCTGTGGAATTTGTGGATGTTCTGCAAGACAGCTGTAACACCACAGAAAATTTACTGTACATCAAACATTCATTTGACAGCCAACTAAACAAGCTAGTGAGGAAATGATACAAGTTTGTTGAAGTCCAGTGACACAGCTGAAACCCTGTGAGAGAAAGTGTTTCACGAGGACTTTCACACTGACTTACAGGTTGAGCCTTTACTCTGGAAGCTATGAAGACTGTAGAGTGAGCACCGAGACAGAAGGAAAGCAAAACGATTGGCATATGCTAGACAAAATACGCAAACGAGAAGACGAGCTACTGCCCCTGTTCACTACCTCAGCGTGAAAGCAAAAACAAGGGCCCCCGGGGGAAGCGGGCAGACTTCGAACATCCAGTGCCCATTTCCCAGCAAGCAGGAAAGTTTCCCAAAACCCGCAAAATCCCCGTGTTTAAGCAACCGCTTCTGACCGCCTTAAGAAAAAAAAAAATAAATAAACGAAGGAAGGAAGGGAAGAACACCGTTACCGCGTACGAGCTGGCAGCGCTTTGGCGTGAGCAGCCGCGGCCGCGCAGTGCGGGGGCACCGGGCTGGGCAGGGCTCCCGCCCCGCCGCGACCCCCCACGCGTGGCGGGGGAAGCGCTGCAGCCCGGGCGGGGAGGGCGAGGGGGAACTTGGCTGCGGAGGAAGCCGCGGCAGGTGGAGGCAGGCGGGCCGGGAAAGGAAGGGATGGGGGGAGATTTTGAAGGCTGAAGGGGGAGTCAGCGGCCCGGGGAGGGGGCGAGGGGCTGCCCGCGGAGCCGCGGGGTGCAGCGGGGAGCGGGGAAGGGGCTGCAGGAGGGGCGGGTTTGCCGCAGGGCGCCGGCTGAGGGCAGGTCGGCAGCCCCGCGGCGGGGAAGGGGAGAGCGGAGGCAGCCGTGGGGCGGCTTCGCTGCAACTCACAGGCGAGTCGTAGGAGAAGGCGCACTCCGTCTTGTAGACCCGGTCCCCTGACTTGGGCACCCGGATCGTGGGCATGTAAGGGACGAGCAGCTCGCCCAGGTCCCCGGCGGCCATCTGCGCATCGCCGCCGCTGAAGAGCGCGGCCCGCTGCATGCTGCCTGCCTGCCTGCCTCCCTCCGGCCGGGCGGGCGGGTGGGCGACGAGCGGGTAACGCGAGGGAGGCAGAGGGCAGCCGGGCCCGGGGCAGGACGCGGCGGCGGCGGGAGCCGGGCCCGAGGGAGAGGAGGGGGGAGGGAGGATGCTATTTTTAATCCAATGGCAGCGGGAGCGGCACCAGCTGCGGCGGCGGCACTCGGGGGTCCCGGCGAGGGCGGGAGGGAGGGGCAGGGCGGCGGGGGCGGTCCGTGCCCGGTGGCCCCCCCCGCCGCCTCCGCCCCGTCCCCTCAGCGGGGCGCGCCGGGAGGTGTCCGCGGGGGCGGCCGCTCCCCTGAGGCGGTTCCCGCCCCCGCCGCGGCCTGGCGGCCGGTACCCCGGCGGGGCCGAGCAGGCAGGAGGGGCGGGAGAGAGGCCGCGCGACGCTCTTACACCCCTTTTACCAGAGAACCTTCGTATCCGTGAGAGGAGGGTGGAGGCTGCGTCTCTCGGCGCGGCTGGGAGCGGGCTTCCCTTTGAGCGCTGATGCTCTGCTACAGGCTCTTTTATTTACTCTTTCAAGCAATTAAAGCAGCCGGTCTGTCAGAGTCTCGGGCCGCGGCGGGGCGGCCCCTGCCCCGGGGGTTGGGTCAAGCCGCGGCGGCCGGTGCTGAGGGACGAGCCGTGGGGTTGCGGAGCGGGAGCGCCCGGCCTGAGGCAGCCCCAGTGCCCAAACCCACATTTCGGGTCTTGAGGGACTGTACCTTTAGCTTTTTTTTTTTTTTTTTTTTTTTTTTTTTGTACGTTTGCTGTGTTTCTCCTTGCTTTTCACTTCGAAACAATACTATTAGGGGAAGGAGGAAAAGAGTAAAGTAACTTTGTAGGAAAAAAAAAATATTGAAATAATTTTTTCCAAGCAATAACCAGTAACTATTGCATATGCCTGACAGCAGCAGGATTAAATAAATGACTGATCCATTTAAAATTAAGATGTAAAATGTAGATGAATAGCCTTCCACCCCTGGTCCACATTATACCCACTTCCAAGCAGGTGATGTAACCTTTGCTATAACCACCTTTTACCTCAAAAATTAAAGTTTCAAAAGGTGGTTCTAGTAAAATCTCAATTAGCAACAGAATTGAAAAATAAGTTTGTATCCAGCTACAAAGAAACAGGCTGTGAGTGAGCAGACCCATACAGTCTGTTCTCAGCAATTTTTCTAGCAAAAAATCAAGTATTGGGAACAATGTGAAATACCAAGGGCAGAATATGATGTCAATGGAATGGCCTTAGACTTACTCAGGAACAGACATTACATCAAAGACTTGTGAGCATCATTGGATGCTTGATAAAACCAAAAATTAATACAGGGTCACCAGACAGATGTATTTTACCTGAGAAGACTTTGTGCTTTTTTAATGGCTTTTCATATGATTAACTCAGCATTTACAAACAATGAGAGCCATAATAAGACATACAAGTCATCTAACCTGAAAGATTGACTCGAGCAAAAAGGACAAGGCAAAGCACTGATAGAAAATTAATCAAAGTCTTTCTAATGTTTGGCAGTGCTAGGAATCAGCAAACTACGTGATCTTTACTTAAAACAGTCTTTGCGATGTTGCTTAATGTAGAGAAAGATTTGAAACCACAAGGTCATCAGGGATTACTAAACGACTTGGTCTTATTTCCTTAAGAAAAAAAGGTGGGAATTTTGAATATGGACAGATCTTTTGGGGTCACAGTTAAGAGGTACTTTCCATCCCTCTATTGAGGCATTTAAAACTAGAGTACCATGGCCGGTAGATCCTGGGGAAACACATCCCTCTAGTGGCAAATGTCTGCCAGATAAAGAGAATACCCTCTATATTCCCTACGTAGCTGGCAAAAGGGGTGTAGAAGAATAGCTGTAGAGCTCTGAAAATGCATAGTAGGTCTGTGTGTGCATGTCCTCACATACAACTTGCCTTTTTTATATAAACTCTTGGCTTGCTTTTTTACTTCCAATTCACCCTGGAAAAGAAGCCGTTATCCTAAAAGCTACCAGAAAGGTTTATCCATTTAATCTCCAAAATCACTTACGTAGCCTCTCTACACTAAATACATTGGGAGTATAAAGTTTGAAGTTTTCATCTTGAGATTTTGCTATCAAGACTTATGTTTTTATGTACTAACAGCTGTGTAATCACACAGCAGAAGACGGTATCTGTTCACCTAGCAGTCATAAGATGACCCATAAAAACCTTTAACTGAAGTTAACCTATACCATTCTCCCTGGATTGATCCTTGCTCTTCAGGCATCTAGCAATCCTTTCATAACAACCTTCAATAAGCAGTTTCAAATTTTCTCCTTGTTTGTCTCACTGTCACATGAAGCAGAAAGCTAACAACAGTATGAATAACTTGAATATATTGCCAAAAAATGTTAGAGAGACAGCAGTTACTACAAAAATACTTAGTTTAATATCTGTCCACTGAGATTCTTCCCTCTCATGAGAAATTTTACATGACAGAGCATAGACTTTAGCCTAGGAACTGTGGGGGTATTTTCAAGAGTACATGAAAGACTTAGGCTATAACATTCCTTACAATCACTAAAGTGTGAATTTATATGCACCACACACACTGTAATGTTTAAGAACCTTTCCCTTGCTTTCTACTCCTCCATCTAACAGTGTAGACAGCCATAGATCTAGGCAAGTACTTCTGTCTTTATTTTGCCTTCTGAAAACACAGGAGGTATCTGAGGTAATAAAACCAAAGCCTTGTTAAAATTGGTTTTAAAGACTATCCTCCCCACAACTATTTGGCATGTGGTTCTCTATGTCACTAGATACACATTTAGAACATGAAAATTATGTGACAATGGTAGGTACCCCTCATGGAGCTTTCTGACATATTAAAGTATTACTAAGCACTTACCGCGTTTTCATCGGTGAAGATCCTTTCTGCTACAAAGGGCGGATGTAGCTCTGTTTTAGATATATTGTCATTTGAACAGGAAGGATGTATCATAGCAAAAGTATCTGTTACGCTTCTAAATCTCATTTAAAAATCAACCATTCAAAAACCCAAACAAACCAACCCCACCAGAGCAATGTAGAAAGATGTTGCAGACACCACTTTTTGGATGATCCTCACAGAGAATTGTCTAGTTCAGAAAGATGGACACAGTCATCTTCGGGCTTTTTTGGTTTTGTTTTGGTTTTCATTTTTTAAAGAGTCTGTTTAAGAAGTCTTTTACAGACACAGACTGTATAGGAGATGAGACTGGAGAAAATTAAAGAGCAGACAAGCATAAATCACGCATACACAAGAGGAAAAAAGTTTAAAACTGTTGACAAAACTAATAAAGGAAGAGCAGCATGCCTGACACTATCAGGGATGAAGGGTATTAACATATCTAAAGAGAGAAACTTCTGAAATAACGCAGAGAAAATTATAGATGTTAAACAATATGCAAGTTGGGAAAAAAAGAGTGAAAGATGAGTTTAAGTACAAGTCATGAGAAAGAAAATATCTGTCTGAAGTGGTAGATATAATCCTCATATTCTGAAGATCTGAAGGTATTTTTTTCACTTGGTTCATCTTCCACAAACTATGTGACACAAAGCATTGTGAAAGAAAAAAGCCTTAGTTTCCTGTACCTTTCATTTAAAACTTTAAATACTAGAAATCACAAAAGGAAGACTAATGTTGCCAACTTGTTTCACATATTAGGTCACAAAGCTCATTTTACATCGATGTTCTGGACAAAATGAGTAATTGTTGGCAACTAACATAAGGCATCTTCTCTGATTAACAACTTTAACAGCTATATGAGCTTAACTGCCACACAGTTTCTTTCAAATTATTGGAATCAACACAAATACTGTTGATTTTTATTAATTTCCATCAGTAAGCAGCAGGATATATATTACATAGCTCAGTCACAATTTGTCAGTATGCATTTAAGACCATGCATGCTGTCTTAAAATTGTTTAATTGTCAGGCGTGGCTTTCATAGAATTGTCAACAAGATTTTTATCAGGTGTTTCATAATGATACCAAGGTCCATCTCCCCTGTGTCTCATCAGTCTGCGTGCCTCCAACTCCATCAGCCTGAAAATAAAGAGCAACAGACACACTCAACATGAAATTTATTGGTTTGGATCATACATATAGCAATGTTTAACAGGACATTACTGACAACAGCACTAAGTTTAGCATCTATGGTTTATAAATACTACTGAAACATATGTAATATCAAATATGAAGGGTTCAACTAAAGCATGAAATATTACATCCTTCTATTTAATTTTTCAGCAAGTCATCTCCCAAAAGAGTAATAAAAATTCTTGCAGGAGTTCTTCCCTAGTAAAGGGCTAGACAGTTTTTTTGATACAGCTTTCAACTAAAAATGAATAGGAGCAAAAAAATCATAAGTAAATGTGATGGTAGAAGGCTCTCTTGATCCCAACAGCAACAGTTTGTGAAACTCAGACCTTCTTCTACCACCAGTTTACTCCGAGTAAGTATAGAATAAACCAGTACAATGTAGTTGCTGCCCACAAAATTTTCAACTGCAACAAGGAACCTGACCAGTCTTGTGAACAGTCATTCAGCTACTCAACTAAGCTATGAGCATTACCAGAGGCAAAATCAGCTGTCCACTTTCAAATGTGAAATATTTTGAAGAGAAACCGTTGTTTTATAAGACTGCCCTTGGATCGTTCCAGTCCTGGCAATCTTAGTACTGAGAAGGCAGGGACTACAGGTACTATAACTTCCACTTTGCCATCAGCCAGTGCAGCACACACTTGGGGTCAAGTGATACTTAAATAACCACGTTATGTCAGCATCTCATACTCAGTATGTTAAGCAAAGTAAGAGTCAGCTACAGTATATGTCAGTATTTTAAACCCCGTGACTATATAACATACCTCATTTCAGTTTTCTTCGCTTCAATATCAAGCAAAGCCATCTGTTTCTCATAGTCCTTTTCAGGGGGGTCAAGTAAGTAACGAGCTATCCAGCGACTTATAGGGTGCTGGAAAATACAGAGGCAGAGATTATTCACGCAATTTCCAAGTAGAAATATCATCATAACTAAATAATTTTGCATGTTCCCTGTCCTGAGAACATGTCATTGACACTACGGGTGCTGCTATTCAAACCATAATAGTGAAGTTGAGAACATGCTCCATTATTTCTAAGATCTGAACCCTAAAAAGCTCTATTTCTTTTGCCATTTTTAATGCCAAGATCACCTGCAGATAACTGTAGCAAAATTAAAACTTAACGGAAGACATATGATTTATTTTCTGTTGAAGTAAAGTTCCTTAAACTGCCACTGTAATCACAGCAATGGACTCCAAACCTCTTACCGTAATCAGTAACATTTTGAAGTTTTACTTCCACATAGAGATCATTTCAATAGGGACAAAAGTCTAAATTAGTTGAGAGTCATAAGAGTATTGCTGAATTCAATTACTTCCTATCAAAACCAAAAAAGTGCTTACAGCAAGAAGCCAGGGAATAATTTTAAGAAAATAAAATTTTAAAAGCATAACCTTGATTTTCTGACTATAAAAATCTTCAATTCTAGATATAAAAGCACATGTGATGTTGGACTTTTAAACAACACTAGCAAATAATACAAAATAATGTCATTTCAAACTCCAGTATCTCGAGATGTTGTAGTTCCAGAGCAAGAAACAAAGACCAAAACTGCATGCCAAGAATAAAGAGAATCACAGAAAGGTTTGGGTTGGAAGGGACCTTAAAGATCATCTAGTTCCAACCCCCTGCCGTGGGCAGGGACACCTTCCACTAGACCAGGGTGCTCCAAGCCCCGTCCAACCTGGCCTGGAACCCTTCCAGGGAGGGGGCAGCCACAACCTCTGGGCAATAGAAGACTGTTCTTACTACTTAGGAATATTATAAAAGAATTCTTGGCATATAGCTTCAGCAGTTTAATTGCATAAATTTACAGATCATTTGCATCTACTTCTGTCAGTAAAAAGATTTCCTACGCATGTTCCTAAAGCTGAAAAAAAGCAAGTTTACCAAAATCATAATTGCACAATTCGAGTTCTACTCCACTGATACCCAGTGGCAGAGATATGGTCATCCTCTTTATCATACTCCACATACTTTTCTCCCAAAACTACCATCAAGAGAAAGGCTGTCCATAACATGCCACCCTTTTACATGCTACACTCACTTTGTAGTATTCCCAGTAGTCTGGAATATAGCCTTCGGGAATCTCTGCAAGTTCAGCTTCACCTGAGAAAGAAAGGAGGGGAGGAACATTAATTCACGTTTGTTTGGTTGGGTTTTTTTAAGTATCATATATTCTGCCTTTCACAGAGGACAAGATCATTATTTCACACGGAGAGTACTTAATCCCTCAGTCTGAGCTCTATTCAGAAAAACTGGAATTGTAATTTTTCTGGACACTTCACACTGCATGTATCTAGCTCACAAACCTTAAGACACACAACAAAAGGGTGAAAATAGCAGCTGTACAAAGAAATAACTAAGATCAAGTCCACAGAAATGCCCTTTAAAGTGAGTTGAAAGCATGGATTTTTTCCTAATTTCTCTTTTAAATTAATTCTATATTATTATAGTAGTAGATTTAAAACATGTATTGTCAAGCAGTTTTGCCTTTTTTTGCTAAATAAAAAATGACAGTTGCAGTTTATTGCAGCCTTCTAAGAAGTATGTAAAAAAAGGTAATACAGGCTTCTCATCTGAGTACAGAACTGTTCACTGAACTTCACTGATGTTCCTTGTTCCTCACATGGAAGACTATCAAAGGATAGAATTTTCCCAGTTTAAAAATGTGGAAAGCTTTAAAAAACAAAACAAAACAAAACAAAGGCAACAACTGCAGAAAAATAAAAATACTAGGAATATCTTCCACATACTTATACAATATTACCTATTTGATGATCTTCCAGAGAACAAGCCTTAAAAGATCTCTTTTTTCTATCCAGCATGCTTAGTTTCCATTTAATAATTTTGACTGTGTACTTAGCTTAGACATGACAAAGCACTCACCAATGAAGATGTTCACATATGTTATGAATAGTGCCACTGGTATTCCCGTCAGAAATACATAGAATCTCTGTATAGGGGATAAAAAGAAACAGTATGGGAAACTCCGAAGGCTGACAAAATTTAGATAAGGCTAGTCTGAAAATAATGTAACGGCCAATAATACTTAGATTTGCATTCATAGGTTAGATAGGGATGTTGTACGTAAAGACATATTGCTGCTTAAAATGAGTGAATTAACAAACTAGAATACAGAAACAGCAATGCTGTGTCAATCCACGAGCCTATTAAGTTCAGCTTTCAGTCTCCTGGAGAGGCCAGTCTGTGCAGAGCAGGCAGCAATGCTTTCCCTCAGTGCTGTCTCAGCATCTTGTGGTCACTAACTTCAGCATTTAACTGTAACGAGGCGCTAACACCAATGCAACATAATCCAACATGAATATAACCACGGCTGGCTTTGGTAACTGGATGACAGATAAAGTAAGCCTGATCACACGAAGGGAGTTGTATCAAGTTGGCTGTTACCTGTCATAATAGGCTTTATCTAAAACCTAGCTTTTTAGGGGACAAACTCAGGTCAGGCTTCCTAAATCTCATCTCTGGTATTACTGGCTTAGGTAACTGCAGGTAAACCCTGCAGAAGAGTAATTCTAATACATTTTTAAAGGGAGGATAAAGTGGAAAGCATTTGTAGGTTATGCATATAAGAACTACAGACACATATTTTAAGAATGCTACAAGAGCATTAGTTTAAGTACCTATCACAATCTTTATCATTAGGCCAATCTTTTTACTTCATCTGGCCCTGATTTCACAACACGGACAATTCATTAGGAGAAGGACTGGAAATTCTTGTTTATGTATACAGCACCAACCACGTTTTAGATGCTGTCATGTTAACAATATAGAAAGCTGTATTTCAGACGGGCTTATGCATTTGCAAGGGATGTGTTACACTAAATGTAATAAATTTGTTTTTAACTCACCAACAAGTTCAGAAATCGAGTATCGTAAAAACTTGTTGCCTTGATGATAAACATTCTCTTCCCATGGCTGCTGCTATGTCGTACAGGAGCTGAAAATCAAACCAAAGTATTATGTTTTTTTCTCCCTTTGGTGATTGTGCAAGGATAAGGTCAACAAAACGCGCTTTTAAAAAAAAAAAAAAAAAAAAAAAAGGTGTATACAGCAGTGGCTGAATAGCCGCTGGTTTTCTGGAGGATATTAATATTCCTAAAAGCCTACCTGAACTAATTTCCTTTTTTGCTAGAATGAACGTATTTTTCTTCTAACTAGATCTATTTCTACCTTTAAGTCCCAACAAAACCAAATCATTGAATGTCATTATACTGGGCCAAGGAGGATTCAGAGATCAGTACGTCAGGCAGTTTGGCCTCCCGCCAATTTTGATCCACGTCGTACCCGTGAAATGCAATTTCTCGGCGGAAGCAAAATACACCTTGAGCGCCGCGGGGGGGTTTCCCTGCGCGCCGAACGGGCTCGCTACACCCGCTCACCCACGGAAAACTCGCGCCGCCCGGCTCCCTCCTCCCGGCCCGGCCCCTCCGCCCCGCACCGGCCGCGGCAGCCGAACCCCCCCGCGGCCTCGCGCGCCCCCGCTCCTCAGGCGGGCACCTCTCCCCCGATCCCCAAGGTCACCTCACCCCCGCCGCCCCCGGCCCGCCCCCTTCCCGCCGCCCCAGGCCCTACCGGCGGTCCCCGGGAGCCGGGCGGCCCCGGCGGGCCAGGGCAGGCGAGCACCGCCGGCCGCGCCGCCCGCTACCCGCCGCGCTCCCCAGGCCGCCGCCGCCCGCAGCAGCAGGCTCATGGCCGCCATAGCTGGAACTGGCGCTGAGGCGGAGTCAGTGGTGAAGCTAGGCGGCCGCCATCTTGGAAGAGGGCAGAGCCTTCCCTCTCCTTCCGGCGCCGGGCATTGTGGGGGGCGGGAATCATGATGGCCGCCCTGTGCCGGCGCTTCGCGGGCGCGTTGCGGCTGTCAGGAGCGCGGTCGGGCTGGACGGCGGCCGGCTTGCCCGGGTAGGCACCGGGGCGGCGGAGTCCGAGGCTCGGGAGCGGTTGGGGCGGGGTTGCGGCGCGTTGCAGGCTGTAGCGCCGTTCCCGATCGGCGCTGGCGGGAGGAGCCGGACCGTGCGGGTGTCCCGGCTTCTGAAACCATTCCTGGGAATTGCGGGGTAGCTTAGAGCGGAAGGCATTGAGGGAGCGTAGTATGAAACGTTCCGCTGGGCACGTTACAGCTTCGCAGTCGTTCTGCTTTCCGTGCAAACCTCGTGGAGTTCAGCAAGGCCAAGTGCAAGGTCCTGCCCGTGGGTCGGGGCAATCCCCAGCACAAACCCAGGCTGGGCGAGGAGTGCATGGAGAGTAGCCCTGAGGAGAAGGACCTGGGGGGGATTAGTGGATGGAAAACTGACTGTGAGCCAGCAACGTGCGCTCACAGCTCAGAAAACCAACCGTGTCCTGGGCTGCATCAAGAGAAGTGTGGGTAGCAGGTCGAGGAAGGGGATTCTCCCACTCTCCTCCAATGTGGGGAGACCCCCCTGCAGTGCTGGGTCCAGCTCTGGGGCCCCCAACAGCAGAAGGACACGGAGCTGCTTGAGCGGGGCCAGAGGAGGCCACGAAGATGCTCCAGGGGCTGGAGCAGCTCCCCTGGGAGGCCGGGCTGAGAGAGTTGGGGGGGTTCAGCCTGGAGAAGAGAAGGCTCTGGGGAGACCTTCAAGTGGCCTCCCAGGGCTTAAAGGGGGGACAGGGAAGGTGGGGATGGACTATCAGAGGGTGTAAGGATAGGACGAGGGGTGGTGTTTTTAAATTGAAAGAGAGCAGATTTAGATCAGCTATAAGGGAGAAATTCTCTACTGTGAGGGTGGTGAGACACTGGCACAGGTTGCCCAGAGCAGCTGTGTCTGCCCCCTCCCTGGAAGGGTTCAAGGCCAGGCTGGACGGGGCTGTGAGCACCCTGGGCTGGGGGAAGGTGTCCCTGCCCAGGGCAGGGGATTGGAACTACATGATCTTTAAGGTCCCTTCCAAGCCAAACCAATTTATGATTGCAGTGTGAATTTTTTTTTTTTTTTTGTGTTCATATCCTGTGTTTACTGCTTTTGCATTTAGTTAAAGGTCAATGTAGGAGGATGCATTCTTGTACAGTGTAGCTCAAAGTTATTCTTTCTTTTAACTTTCAAACTGTTGCTTATCTCTGAGTATAGATAAATGGTAATTAGATGAAACAAGTGGTAGAGGAGAGAACACTGAGATAACATATTTAGGAAAAACCGAACTTGTGCCTTTTCCCCCTAGGCTGTGGTATTCACCTGTCTATACGACTTGGGCCTTTATGAATGAAAGAAACATCCTCATTTAGCTGAATATTATTTCTCCTATCGTGTAGTTTCCCATTTAATTTTTATGCAGATTGACGCTGAACCTGTTTCACAAGAACCTAGCAAAAGTTGAGCCCCTCCGTCAGTTGAAGCTTCTGCACACCACTTTGTCTCGGAAAGGTCTGGAGGAGTTTTTTGATGATCCACAGAACTGGGGAGAAAAAACGGTAAAGTCTGGTGAGTTATATTTGGCATTTCTGATAGCGATCTTTGAGCCACTTGGGCTCAGTTGAAATCTGACCTATTCTTTTGTGATACAGGGAGTATTCATAGCTACATAAAACTTATTTTTTATATGTATGTGTACATACATACACTTGTGTGTTTTTTGCCTGTTAATTTTATGTTTTCCATGTATTGTGTTTATGAAAGCAAATAGCTATTACGCAGCACGATATTTTGTTCTACATCCCCTGCCTTCCTCTTAAGCGAGAGTGTATCACAGAAGAGATAATATTTGATGAAGTATACAGTACCTGGGAAGAAGAATATTTCAGTGTAAAGATTCATCTTACAACTTTCTCTGTTCTCAGTCTTTTACAAATAAACAGTACATACCATTGCCTTTTTAATGTGTTGTATATTTAAAGGAAAGCTTTGAATATCCACAAGGATAGTTTTCCAAGAGGTAGTATTGTTTTAAAAAGTGATCCTTGTTCTGTTGAGTCAGCTGAACCTGATAATAGAAACACTGTTTGTTTTTCTTTTTTTTCAGAATAAGAGAACTTTGTTCTGTTACATTGATTATACTTCTATTTTTCCTTTTTTTTTTTTTTTTTTTTTTTTTTCCCAGGGGATGCATGGAATATAAAGCAGTTAAGGGGCAAGAGTAGTGAAGACCTGCACAAACTTTGGTAAGTAAGTTCTAGTGAAGTGGCTTCTCTTCTTTCAAAGCAGTTCTGCATGTTTTATTAAATGTGGTTAGTGAACTTTTTAGCCAGTGATTTTAGTCTGCCATATAGCTCTGCATGCTTAAGCCTGCTTTGGGCTTGGAAAAGCCCAAGTTCTGATACTGCTCAGAATACAAAAGCTGTACTGCAGGTGGCTGTGTGAAAGTTGCATCCTGTACAGAGGGTTCAGGTTTGGTAGAAAGAGGCTGAGTCTGAGCGTTGGTGGGCTTGGTTGTAAGTGACCTTTGGTGGGGCTGGAGACTGCATCACCACTCTAGCCAACCTGTGCCAGGGCTAAACTGGCACTTAATTTTTACCAGGAATAGTTTTCCCCTTGCTCTATCTTGTCTTTTTGCTGTGCATTTGTAAGAAGAGTCTGGCTCTGGCTCTGTCCAGGTAGTAGAAGACCTTGTGTGAACCTCCTCTCTGCTTGGCATTCTTTATTCCAGGTTAAGTAAACCTGTCTCCTTCAGCCTCTCCTTGTACGTCCTGTACATCAGCTCTCCTCGCCTCTACTGAGCTTTCTCCAGTTGGTCAGCATCTTTTTGCTGCTTTATATGAAGCCAGCAGGTATAGGCTAGGGGATTGTAGGTTGGACAGCTGTGCTCTATCCAGCAGGGTAATGAAGGAATAATTTCTATTGTATCCAGAAATTATTTTTGAAGTACTGTGCTTTCTGATCTAGGTATGTCCTACTGAAGGAAAAAAACATGCTTTTAACTTTAGAGCAAGAATCAAAACGACAACTCAGGCCTATGCCAAGTCCAGAACGATTAGAAAAGGTAACTTTTTCATACTAGCTAAAAACATAACTAAAATTGCTGAGTGAAGTGTAAGGTGTTTGTAAAACTTGTTAGAGATCGTTCTTTAAACTATATCCGTGATTTTAGTATATTCACAAGCACGGTGCTCAAGCAGTGTTGTAGGAAAAAGGCTTTTCCACCTGTTATATAATGTTAAGAAATATTTTGCCATCTTCGTGCCCTGAAACTGCACTAGAGAATTTTTAGAAACTTCATGGTGAAACTTCAACATTATCTCTATCTTTCCACAAACTTTTTTTTAGCTACTTCACTGGTGCCAACTTGCCTGATAAAGTCTTCTCCAAATTTGTGCCCTTTGGTTCTTTGCTGTTCTCGCTTTTGTCATTCCCTCCTTTTGCATTATTTCAGTTTTGACACTAATTTATTAAATTCTTTCCTCAGTATCTTTACCATTGAAAACTTAATTTACTTATAAATTGGCTGCCATCTCTATGCTGTGTCTCAGTTGGAAATCTACACCTTCACTGGCCAGTTAAATAATTCAGCTCTTTGACATGAGAGAGATTCTCAGCTACCTCCCTATTTATCCAAATTAATTTGGGAAAAGTCTGACCTTTACACTGTTAATCTGAATTTCTGTGTGTGGTTAATAATTGAACTGTGACTTGTCATCATGCACATCTGCAACTGCATTATGATCTCTTTTTTTTTTTTGTGTGTGAGACATGGATTTCATTGGTCTCCTAGTTTTGTCATTTCATCACTGTACTTATAAATTAGGGAAGAATCAATATAAAACTCTCCTCTGGATCTCCTAGTGTATCTTGCTCTAATTTATCATAATATGGTTTCTCAACTGTGTTTTGTGATTCCTATTCTGAACAGTATTTTCTGCTTAGTCCCACCTACACAACCATGTTCAGCAATTACAAGTCACAGTAGGACTTGTTTTGGGAGGGAACCTAGGTAAGTGGCCCCAACACTTCAAAAGTAAAATCCTACTAATTGCCTGTTTGGTTTTGGCTGAAGCCCAAGAAAAGTAGAAGTCAAGCACCAGTTATACTATGATTGCACCAACACACATTACAGCAATCTGCTTATTAAAATTAGCTCTAGCAGCTTCCCAGAGCATTTAACATATTGTCATATGTAATGTGTTACAGTAATATTGAGACAGATGTGACTAAAAAGCTTCAACTCAAGTGTCAGTTTGGTCAAAGCAGCCTTCTAATAAGCCAACCGGCATTACTGAGGTTGTGACCAGACCCCAGAGTGAAAACTAGAATAACAAACAGCCAGTACAAACCATCTGACAGAACTACGTAGAGCATATCTTCTATTTGCTTTCTGTACTTCTAGCATCAGCATTATATCTGGCCTTACATACTAACCAGTTAGTCTTTAATGAAATATCAGACTGTCAGTTATTTCATATCTGCTCTGATTGTAAGTTTGGGTTTTAAAGCACCTATTCTTTACCGTTGTAGTATCCAGGGCCAGTTCAGCTGTTCCACTCAGTCTGCAATTGCAAGATTACTCATGATGGAACTCCTAGTGTGTTTTACCTTTGCCTTTCCTTTAAATTTTGTCTTAAATCTTCATTTGAGATATTATAAATTGTCAGCATTGCGAAGCATTGTCAGCATCCTGAAACTATTTCCTATTTCCAGGTAGAAAAGTCTATGAAAAATATAGACTTGGTTGTCGGAGAAAGAGAAACTGCTCTGAGGCTTTTACAAACTGGCCATGAAAAACCAGTACCTGGCGAGTGGAGACATGACTTCTTAGGACGCACCCACTGGTAGGGGAAGGAGAACTCTTCTTCATATGTGTAAATTTTTCTTGTGGGATGTCTCCTTACCAGAAAATCCTTATCTAATGAAAAAAGGATGCATATACTGTATAGAAATAAGCATGCTTTCTGGTCAGCACTTAAGTGCTTCTTCAGTTTTGGTGTTTTTTTTTTTTTTTTTTTTTTAATGTGGTTATAATTGTTGGTAAATAATTAAATGGCAAACTCTACCATTAATTTTAACAAAATGAGTTAAATTAACTCATATGATTTCTATACTCAAAGGATGTCTGTTACTATAGCTATTCTGTAACACACAAACGTCATGGGGAGTACCGTTCAAGCTGAACTACCTGGACTTCCCTAGTTATAATGCAAAATCCACATATTGGAGGCAACTACCCAAAGTATTGCATGAGACCATAAACATCTGTTGGAATTCCCTGTGAGACTTGGCAGATATTTAACGTAGAAGCTTCTACCTTTAGAATTATTTATTGTCCAGATACCTTCAATAATCTGTAATTTCAGGTGATTATGCTGAAAGATCTGGCAGCACCTGCTATTTAATTAACCACTATTTTACCCTCATCATATTGGCATTTGAAGCACTATTTACAGTATTCAGCTCTGCAATAACAGTGTAGATAACAGAAGATCACACATTATAACAGCAGTGAATTTTCAGTTGTTATCCGTTTGTTTACCTGCTAAATATAAATCAGCAGAGTATTAAATGCACTAACCACTAGATTTACATCTCTAGGGATAAGGCTTCTGCATATCTCTTTTTGCTTGGAGACATTGTCCACAAAGAAGGGTTTGCCCATATATTTGCAAGTACAGTCCCCAGTAAAAGCAGGGGAATGGGGGAGACAAGATGAAATTGTCTTTAAGCACATGCAGAAACTCTGCAATGCACAGAGTAGTGTCTGACACAGTCTGGATGCACTGGAAGCTGTAGGTAAGTCTGCACAAGCCATCTGTGCAGCCCATATGCAAGAGAAATCCCAAACAGAAATAATAGAGTCTATCTTTAGAGGGAAAGACTTCTGTTCAGGCAGACTTGCACTTGCTGTGACACTCCAACACTGGCTTTTAAAAAATTTGTAGTAGAAACAAAACTCTTCACACACAGTTTTTTTCACATCAGCTTTTGATAGTTTTCTTATGCAGGAGTAACTTTAAAATATAAATGCAAAAAAATCACTAGATATACTGGGCCCTCTCTTCAAACATTACAGTTCTTAAAGCAAGACCACTTTCTACAGAAAGACACTAAGCTACGTAGGAGCTATAGTTACAAACCAAGCCAGCAATAGAGCTGAAAGTAAATACCCACCTACAACTTCTGTGATATAGTAGTCGGACCACTTTATCACTGTACTATAACCAAGTGTAACTGGTAGAATCTAAGAATTAAGACAAAAAGTACACATTTGATAATCACCTTTATCTGTCTTTAACAGGTACACATATAAGGAATGGCCAATACCGTGGTACTTGAACAAAAAATACAAAAAGAAGAGATTCTATTACTTACCTCATGTGGATCACTTCATCAGGTAAAAAGATTTTCTGACACTGAAAGTTATTTTCTGATCTGCTCCTCAGTCATCCTTATTCTACTTAGCAAGGAAAAATTTAGTAGTAATCTTGTTTTGCTGGGTTTACGGCTAGTAGACTGAAAAGATCTTATAAAATTAGCTTGTTCTGTTTCCTTTTGCTGTTCCCATTTCGGTTAAGAGACTTGGCTGTCTGATTTTGTACTGTAAAAGTAACTTTACATGCAGACTAGCTAAGATCTTCCCAAAGGTTGAATTTCTGTAGAATTCAAAAGCAGAATTAAAAGAAATTGCTTTGCAGGTGTTTTTTTGATATGCATTTTTATTCGCTGAAAGCAAATTAATACTGAAGTTGTGAATCACTGGGATTCTCTATATGATTGTGTGGGGGGGTAAGATTATCAAGGGTGTTACAAGCTGTGTGGAAAATAACCACACTGACTGCTTTATTTCAGGCTCAGACTTGAAAAAGCTTTACGTAGAAGGGCAAGAAGGCAGAGCCTAGACAGGACGAGGCAGAAGGTCTTGGAAAGGAAGTTCCCTCACCTTGCTGTAAAATCTCAGAGCCAGTAACATGCTGGAAGAGTGCTGCAAGCAAGTGGTTGAGTATCTTTGGCTGGAACATGAAACAAGTTCTGAAACCAGTGAAAACTCCACTGAGCATTCCTGCAAGTCTCCATTTTTTTTTTTTTTTTTTAATCCTCCATTATGTCCAAAATTAAACTTGTGATCTGGAATTAAAAAGCAGCTTTGGTGCATAACTGAAATGAATCCTAACATTAGTTTCTAGAAACATTTGAAAAATTACATTAACCAGCTATTATAAAAGTGAGACGTACATCATTAGCAGTGAAAAGCAGCAACTGACTGCTAGATGAAAATATGAAGCGTAGGGATAATATTTACCTGGTTCAGTTTAACAAATATGCATTAAAACCAGTCAGAAACAGGGGCCTTCTGCAGCTCCCAAACTAGCCTTTGTTCCTTGGTCAACCAACTTACAGGTGTGTCACCCAAGTTACATGTGCCTTCTGCACAAATGCATGGAAAAATAAAAGCTAAGCTCTTAAGTCTGCTACAAGGAACTTTCTCCCTGGGTTGGGTATAGCTTGCTAAATATTTCATACTTTCTAATAGAACATGAACTTTCAACAATGCGGTCTTTATACCTGGATTTCTAGATACCTGTGACAAATTTGCCCAATTTTTTTCAGTGTGCACAATGTTTGAAGGAAGACTGGTAATAGTCTTCTGTGAAATTAAAGCAGAAGGGTATAGCTACTGCTCTCAGTAGATGGTAAACACCTACTTCATAAAAGCTTTTAACCTTCACAGGAGGTTGTGTAGAAATTTAGAATAAAGTCAAACACTAGTCACTGAGGAAGCAAATGTGCTATGCAATATGATCTGATAAAACACTGGAAACTCCAGCAAAACCAAAACTGTAGGAGAGATACATGTTTATTGCCATCATCTTGACCTTCAGTTACTCCTCTGCATCACACAAAATACCCACTTTTTCAACAGAAACTCTTTACAGTGGTGAGAAAGCCCCAGAAAGTTTTGTTCTCCATATGATGCTAGAACATTCACTGATACAGTACGATGGGAGTAATTATTTTAAGAAGATGAAGATAAAAGTTGATTAGACATAATCATGTCACATGACACAGAAGGAAAGCTTGAAAGGCACAGTCATCAATTCAGGAAGAGAAAGCAAGAAAGCCTGCTTTACATCTTTGCCTCTAGCTCCACGCTGTCCCCTCACTCTTTGTACGTCAGTGGTGCTGCAGTAACTCTGCAGCGTTACTCATGGCAGCATGCGAAGCTAGAAGTTCAGTTGACATCCCACCTTCTACTTGAATGCAAACCAGACTAAAAGTCTTTTTCTTCCAGTATCACAACACTAGCTGGTGACTTGTATCACCTAATGTAGCTGACTTAAGTTTGCCTCATTTTGTGAGAGAAACAATTTGTCAATAGCTTTGAAAATCTGCTGGAAGCAACTTTGGGTCAAGAACAGCTAATGGTTATCATGATTAGACAAAAGCAGGCCGTTTTGATAAATTACTTTATTGTACGGAGGTAATGTGAAACTTTAGCTAGAGGCCTCATTCTTATTTACCCACAAAGTCTTTTAGGATACGAAAAACGTAGCAGTACTGTTTACATTTTTTTTTTGTTTTGAATCAGTTAGATGCTATTTGGTTTTCCCCAGATTTTAAGATAAGGAGCAAAACTTCATTGTGTCCCAACACAGAACATCACACAGTTGTAAATTAAAATAAGCTTAACAGCAACACAAAGCCGCATCTTGACAGCCCATTCCTGGTGACAAAAAAAAATACATACTACTTCCTCTGACCCTGAGTGCACACTCCCCATGCAAAACACAGGCACTTCTTGACCCTGCTCTGGGTCACCTGAGGGAGCTACACCAGCAACACACAAGTAGTGACTGCCTGAGTTACAGCTCCCTGTCAAAATGTCAAGCCACATCCTGAGGTCTTCCATGGCTATTCTGGGCTTGGAGAGACGATTCTTTGCCTTAACTTCCCTGGCTTGAACAAGTTTTGCTTCTCGCCTACATCACAAAGGCATTATATACATTCCTAGAAATGAGGTGGAAAGCACTGATTGTTTACTGAAATAAAATTACTCCATAATAGAAAATTAGCAAACCAGTGCTTAATGTAACGTTCACTACATGGAATGTAACACTTTTATGACACAGTAAAAGTTTACACTGAACTGAGTCACCTATAGTAGATTACAAACTTTCCATTTTTAAAACAAGAGTAACTTTCTCTAAAAGTACTCACAAGGTTGCTCAAATATAAAAGACCAGTTTTTATTTTTTAAAAAAGAAACGAGCAATTTAAGGCCAAGGTACCAGCAAGGAAGACTAATATGTGAAAGTAGACAAGAGGTTTTTAATAAATTTGCATGGGCATTTGAAAGGTTATGCTTCTATCTATTAGCTAACCTGTAAAGCTGTTCCCAGGAAAAGATACTAGAGAAAATAGATATTTATACAAAATTATAAAATGCTTGTTACATGAATTATTGCTTTACAAGGGTGTAAACATCCTTTTTCTATGATAGTACCAATTAGGTCTCTCAAAGTTTCTAAGGTTTGTTAATATGTAACTTGAATTATGCAAAAAACCCAATATAAACTTTCTACAAAAAAGAGTCCATCCCATTCCTGAGTATGCTAAAGCTATAAAACAGAAGGAGCACTGAGCAGGCAGCAATTTTCACAGTAAGAGGTTTAAGGACATTTTCTTTCTACACACTGTTTCCCTCCTTCTTCATATTCTTGTTTAGAAATCCACATCTGTTGAAAGGTACCCTACAAACAAAAAACAAACCACACAAAACACAAAAAATGAAAAAAAAAAATAGAAAACAAATGAAGGTTAAGTGAAACATGATTAGCTTTTCCCAGGAGGAAAAACAAGCAAGTCTTTACATTAAATAAGAGGACTGGACTTGCTTAAGTATCTTTTCCTTGGACTTTTACATTGCTGTGATTAAACTAAGGACAGGAAGTTGCAGTACCAAAGCTGATTTTGGTCTCCCTTCCCCATACGGCTAAATTATTGCTCACAAAGCTAAATTATTCCCCACAAACCATTTCAGTACACAGTAACTTGTAGAATTAATCTCAGGAATATGATGCTGAAACAGGTTTGCTACATGTATATAGTGCACCATGAAAGTAATTTCTAGATATATTATTTCAAGCCTGCACCTTGCCATTAAAAATGGGAGAATGTGGCAAGTTATTTCTTGATTGGAAATACTCATTTTGTCTTGTTTTTTAAACAGATTCTCTTTGTCTTACCACAAAGACAGACAAGATTATGATTGCTACAGTATCGCAAACTCTGCAGTGCATGCTTATGTGGAAATAGCTTTTTAGGTGATAGTGCTGCTTCACACAGCACTGGTAACACAAGTTTACTAACCAAAGAAGCCAAAATCGAACCACCAATCCACGAACTGAACCTCCGCTCCACTGTTGTGTTGTTCGCTATCAACTTCAGGCGCATGCTCTGAATAGAAATGAGCCAAAATAAAAGAACAATCAGACATTGTAGGCTGGTGACTTTTAGGGACAAGAGAAGGACAGCACAAGGAATTTGGTGTATACACCAACATGCAGGTGAAAAAGGTCTATTTTATTAAACTTGCAATAATGCTCATCTGCCCTGTATTCTGAATTCAAGAATAGCCATAGTGGAACAGATGTGTGGCTTTTATCTTGTCTCCCAACAGGGAGCAGCACCAAATGCTTAACACTAGAAACAGGGCAGGTAGAGAGCAGTAATACTCACAGTATATAACGTCATCTCTAGCACCAGGCTACTTAAATGTCTAACATTGCCAAACTTAATTCACCTAGTCCTTTTTGGACCCATTAATTCCTTTTGCTTTCAAAATGCCTTGTAGCAATAAAATCTTTCAATTTCAGTAGGTTCCTCCTCAGCTACTCTAAGCACCTTTCTTAGTTTCTCATAACATTCATGATCGCAGAGTTGCTACAAGCAGAACTTTTTTCCTTCAATATGAATATTCAAGAAATATCATAAGCTATATGTGCTCTTGAGAACAGAGGCGTAAGGTATTAATACTTTCTTTGACATCAAGTGATTAAAAAACCCCATACAAGTATGTTAAATCACTGGGTTTTTATCTATGAGTAGGTTGAGTTGTCTGTAGAATCCAGGAAGAAAAATTCCCATGACAAAGCGACAAGACCTTAGGCAGAATAACTGAATGTGCCTCAAGTTAGTCAGCAACTTCAGAAGAGAGGCCATCAAGGGAAATAGCGACTGTTGCTTAGGGACAATTACAGAACTTAGAATCACAATCTGAAAGCAGGAATGGAGAAGTATTCAGCAGTTGTAATACCTGCTGGAATTCATTTCATGTAAGAACATTCTAAGACTTCTTTCTTTCCTTTAGAGAAGGAGATCTCTTACCCCATTGAAATCTCTTCAGCTGTTGGGTTCCTAACAAAGTCAAAGCTATGATACATGCTTGTGTATTTATGTGGCAGAAGAGCAAAATAAGTAACCCAATGCAGTAATTTAAAGAGTTGTTTTACCGGTGGAGTTTTCTGAGACAGCTCTCTGTTCAATCTGTCTGTGAAACTCTGTATTAGAGTGTTTCCTCCTGCTACAATCACACTGCCATAGAGGCCCTAAAAAGAGAATAAGCAACCTACAATCTTTACTCTGAAATCATTCTGAAAACAACTGTTTCACAGAATAGAGAGGAATGGCACAGAAGTTCATATAATCAACAGCAGTAATACACCACTTCATAACAACATTACGTCTCCCAATCCAATTAATTTTTTAATCACTTCAAAAATATTTCAAGACAGCTTAATACTAAACTATACAAAGAACACAGAAGCTATGTGATTAATGATTCGAAATGATTTCAGAGTATTTTCTACTATAGAGAACCCTACACCTACAGATATTTCATGTACCCGAACTGTTCGCTTTTTCACAGCTGAATGTTCCAACTATAAAGGAAAAACCCAATTTTCAATCTCACTAATGCTGCAGTCAGTGAACACAAACCATGGCCTGGCCTAAGTCTGTCTGACACACCAGTTAAGAGGAAAAATGTATTAAACAACCCCCATGCAGTCTGTATCAAACCTGGAATATTTTCAAATTGACACCGGAGAAAGTTAGAACATAGTTTTAAAAAGAAAGTTTTCCTTTAAAACCTCTTT